TACCGGTGTGTAAGTATCTTCGACGGGGTATTCCTCCAAGGCCGAACAAACTATACAACAAAACCAAGATCGTCTTTGGTAGTATAACGGTTAGTATTTCCGCTTGTCACGCGGGAGATCGGGGTTCGATTCCCCGCCAAAGAGCTTTTTTTTCTCGTTCTTTTGTGAGACAATTGTCGAAAAGTGTGGAGGTGCGGCGCGATTCCAAGTGTCCTTATTTTTCCCGTTCGCCACCAATGAAGACGATCAGCTTTATTGCCCTTTTGTTCTCGGCGATTGCCCTTTTCGTCGGCCGAGCCATGGCGGCGGCCGAGCTTCCTGAAAACCCCGAAATCACCAATCGGGTGTTCTTCGACATCGAAGAAGACGGCAAGCCTATCGGGCGGATCACCATGGGTCTCTTCGGCACCGTGGTGCCCAAGACGGTGGAAAACTTCCGTCAATTGGCGATCTCCACCGACCCCAGGTTTGGCTACACCGGGTCCATCTTCCACCGGGTGATCCCCAACTTCATGCTCCAAGGTGGTGACTACGAAACCGGCCAGGGCTACGGCGGCCAGTCGATCTATGGTAACAAGTTTGAGGACGAGAACTTTGAGTTGCAACACGACCGTCCTTACCGGTTGTCGATGGCCAACGCCGGTAAGAACACCAACGGGTCGCAGTTCTTCATCACCACTGTGGTCACGTCGTGGTTGAACAACGCTCACGTGGTGTTTGGCGAAGTCATTGACGGTAAGGATGTCGTCGACTACATTGAAAAGGTGAAGACCTCGAGAAGCGACCGTCCCCTTAAGGAAGTGAAGATCGTCAAGCTGGGTGAGCTCGATGCCAACGGCAATGAGATCAACGCCGAGTCCGCCACCGCCGACGCCCGCGACGAATTGTAGGCAATAGTACAATATTTAGATCATTGTCCTCAAGAGTCCCTGTAGAACCACAATTATGTGACTGATCACCAGTATCATTCACTAGCATTTCGGAGCGCGATCGGAGAGGAAAAAAAGGTGGGTTCACCGTAAACGCCGGACGTTTGGCCATGAACACCACCGACACCGATACACGACCGGTAAGTTGTTTTGCTTTAACTACCACACCAGCAATAACATACTGACAATTTCTAGAGACGGAAAAAGACGTCGAGGGCGTGCAATCACTGCCACAAGGCTCACATGACCTGTGATGCTGGCCGGCCGTGTCAGCGATGTATCCAGCGGAAGCTCGACAAAACCTGTCAGGACGCTCCCCGGAAGCGGAAAAAGTACCTCATCGATGTCCCCACCGAGGCGATCGACACCTATGCCCCCGATCAAGCCCCACCACCGTCAGAGTCCTTCTTCAGCAAGAGTCCTCGGGAATCACTATATCCTCCTCCCCAGCAGCAGCAGAAGCAACAACAGCAGCCACCAATGGCACCCACAGCGGCTCCAGACACCCAATCGATGCAGTCAGCCAAGTATAATCCGATCACTGGCCGCGGATCGCAAACAAACCAGTTCATGTCTTCCGCCGTCGATATGGAGTACAGCACCCTTTCCAATATTCTCCAGGACATCCCCTCTACCGACTCCAACCCCCAATCACCGGCACTATCACCAGCCACTGCTCGGAGCTATTCTGGGTACTCCATGGCCCCTTACCCCACAAATAACCCGCGCCCGCCTGCGCCTCAACACCACCATTCTTCATCGCTGGCGTTGGCGGTACCGTTATACGATAAGCACTTTAAGTGTGACGAGCTGATAAACCAGTATTTCTTGGGCGAATCGGCCGCGGAGCTGACGGCACCCGTTACTTTCCCCGACGTCATTGCTGCCATTGATGCCATGGCTCGCGCCGACCCTGCGGTGATGAGAGAGCGAAATAATAAGCTGGCGCTTTCGTTTGCCGTCGGTATATGTCTGGATGACCCCGAGACTTATTATAAACACCAGGTGTATAAGGAGCCCGAGGAAATCTATCAGCAGGTGAAAAAGCCATTTAGCTATACTCCGGGTTACCACATGTTGATTGCCTACTTGCGCAACCGGTTCCCCAAACCGATGTTGGTGAAAATGGCAGAGCTGATGGCGACGTATAGACCGTCGTTTATCGCCTGTACCAACTCCCTCAAGGAAGGTGACCTTATCTTCATGGAACAGTGCTTCCAGCGAACACTTCTAACCTACGACAGTTTCATTCGTGTCAGTGGTACTCCGACAATCGTGTGGCGACGCACGGGGGAGATTGCCTACGTTGGCCACGAGTTTTGCATTTTAACCGGGTGGAGCAAAGACGACTTAATCGGGAAGAACCGCCGCAAGTTCATTGTCGAGCTCCTCGACGATAAGCTGGTGGTGGAGTACTTCCAGCTCTTTAGTCGTATTGCCTTTGGCGACTTTTTGGGTGCTACCATGACCGAGTGTACCCTTCTTACCCCGAAACCCGACGTCAAGATCCGCATGGGGTGTATCTGGACGCTCAAGCGGGACGTGTTCGGTATCCCCATGATGATCATCGGCAACTTCCTCCCCATTCTCTAGGCTACGGTTATTTATAATATATTCATGTACAACCACAATAGAACGATTTATAATCAATTAACAATAATTAAGCAATTTTTCATAATTAAATACCAATAAATCCAACAATCTTAAGTGATATCAACTGTTTCTCTCTATTAAGAGCTTCCTGTCACCCCTCACTTAAACTGTACCCCGGGTGCGATTGCGTAATCAGGCTTGCCATATAAACTCCCAAATATGCCCCCTACGCACCCAAACATGCTGCTCACGCCGACCCTCGTGACGACGGTGGCGATCATATGCCTTGGCCTGCTTCAATTCGGCTACCACATGGCCGAGCTCAATTCTCCCGAGCAGATCTTGTCGTGCCAGCGCCTGGAGCCCGTGCCTGGTCTACCTTATAAAGACACCTGGTTTGGCAGCCACGGCTACGCCCGGTGCCTCGATATGTCGACAGAGCAAGTGGGGATGGCGACGCTGATTTTCTCTATCGGCGGGCTTTTGGGCCTGATCTACGTGGGGCTGCTTGCTGATAAAGTGGGGCGGTGGCGCGTTCTGGTAGGCCAGACATTGATATATTTATTGGGGTCGCTCGTCGCTGGATTGGCCAATACGTACTACCAATTGCTTGCTGGTAGACTCCTTCTGGGGATAGCCGCGGGGCTGGCGCTTGTTATCACTGCTATCTATATTAATGAGATTGCCCCTACTCTGGCTAAAGGTTTACTTGGGCTGATGAATCAGGTACTGATTAATGTCGGTATCTTATTGACGCAATCGTTAGCGCTTATCTGGTGTAATAACAACCAGTGGCGGCTCTTATTGCTTATGGGGTGTGTTGTGGCTGGAGTCAACTGTCTCCTTATCTTGGCCTATATCCCCGAATCACCGGTGTGGCTAGAGGCGAATAACCGCGGCCCTGAAGCGATGACAGTACTCCACCGTATTCGTGGTGGTGACTACGAGCTGATTCGTACTGAAGTGAGCAGCTGGAGATCCCAGGACGATAACTTACTTGGTGGTGCTCTGAACCAAAAGACGGTCGGTATTCGCGACTATCTCCGCTTGCCGCAATACCGCAACTCACGTGTGGTGGCTACGGGGATCTTGGTGTTACAACAATTTGATGGGATCAACTCAATCATCTTCTACGGGGTGGGAGTGCTCACTTCTATCTTTAGTAACGCCATCGCCATCAACTGCGTCATTGCCTTAGTGAACGTAATTGTCACGTTTGGCGCCGCTCAGTGGGTGGATAAGCTTGGCCGTAAACCATTACTTTTGTTGCTGGTGTCGATGCTTGGTGTGGCCAGTGCGATCATGGCGTTCGGCATCATGTGGTCGCTGGCGATCCTTTCCGTGGTGGGCATGTTCACCTATATTGCCTTCTTTGCCGTGGGGCTTGGTCCCATCCCTTTCTTATTAGTAGGTGAAGTTACACAGCCGCAAGCTAAGGCGACTGCTCAGAGTTGGGGGACGCTGATGAACTGGGTGGCGACGTTCATTGTGGGGTACTCGTTCCCGTTATTGATGAAGGCCATGGGCGGGGCCGTGTACTTTATCTTTGTTGGCATGTGTGCCTTTTCCTACTGGTTCATCAAGACGAAAGTGCCCGAGACTAAAGGTAAAAAGAGCTATGAGGAGGTCTGGGGCATTCAGTGATCACTAGTACTCCCCGCACTCAATTTCGCAGCCACCGTAAACACGCAATTATGACAGCTATAACTGAACGACAACGATATGAAATAAAAAGATACATGAAGACTAACGAGACCACTTGGACGAATATAGTTTCACCTTATAACGTAAGGTTGGTGTGGTGTGAGGCGTTGGTTTGGTGGGGTTGTCGTATGATTGTAATATTTCTCCCACGTGACTTAGGGTTACGCACCTAATCCCAACCACGCGGAATTTTTTTCAATATAGCGAGCGAGAGAAAAATCTGTTAACCCCAAGATGCCTACCAGACTCACTAAGACCAGAAAGCACAGAGGTAACGTTTCTGCCGGTAAGGGTAGAATTGGCAAGCACAGAAAGAACCCCGGTGGTCGTGGTATGGCCGGTGGTCAACACCACCACAGAACCAACATGGACAAGTACCACCCCGGTTACTTCGGTAAGGTGGGTATGAGATACTTCCACAAGCAAAAGGCTCACTTCTGGAGACCCGAAATCAACTTGGACAAGTTGTGGACTTTGGTTCCTGAAGAAAAGAGAGAAGAATACCTCAAGTCGGCCTCGGCCTCGGCTGCCCCCGTCATTGACACCTTGGCCCACGGTTACGGCAAGGTCCTCGGCAAGGGTAAGCTCCCCGAAGTCCCCGTCATCGTCAAGGCCAGATTCGTGTCGAAGTTGGCCGAAGAAAAGATTGTCGCTGCCGGTGGTGTCGTTGAATTGATCGCCTAATTGTATAGTAATAGAAGGACTTATTGGTAATGAATAATGCTCACACACTCGCCACCGCACTATGCCTTACCGCACACACCTAGCAAAAAAAAATGTTTTGTCGTTAACGCTGGATTCTGAAAGCGCAGTGGCCGCAGTGGCAGGCTGCTGAGGGGTTTATCTCGCCCCTCTCATGGGAAGTCGCGTTTGTCGCGCCCGCTAGCATCACCACACGCTCTTAATGACCGAAGCCTTCGACGAGAGTGTCGACACGTGGACGCCGGAACTGGCGGTGGACGACCGCATCCGCCAGCTCCTCGACGACCCGGCTAACTACATCCACGCGTTCATCCAGATCATCCGCTACCTCAAGACGAGAAAGCGCACCGGGTGGTTGGACCGGGGCATCGACGCCGCCCACACCGAGCTGATCGCCGACCACATGTACCGTATGGCGGTGCTTGCGATGATTGTCCCCCGGGACGACATCAGCATCGACACCTGTGTCAAGATCGCTATCATCCACGACATGGCCGAGCTGTTGGTGGGCGACATCCCCCCCTACGCCAACGTGTCCAAGGCGGAGAAGCACCGCCGCGAGTACGAGACAATGAAGTACTTGAGTCTGCTTATCAAACCCTATAACCCCAAGTTTGCCGAGGAATTGGTCGAGTTGTGGCTCGACTACGAGGAGATCAGAACCATCGAGGCGCGTTACATCAAGGATATCGACAAGCTCGAGATGATCCAGCAGGCGTGGGACTACGAACAGCAGTTTGGCTCCAAGTATAATCTCGAGGAGTTCTACGCCGCCCGCCCGCTGATCAAGACCCCCGAGATCGGCCAGCTCTGCGATGACCTTATCGCCCGCCGTAACGCCTGGAAAGCCCAGCAAGACGCCACGCCTCTGGCCTAATGCCCCTTTGGTAATAAACTCATTCGTAATCATACATACTCATCCGCTAGAAATTCATAATCTGTATCATTTCGCGATTTGCGCTGACAAACTGTCTCCCATTATGTCCACCACCACTGAGGAACAACCACCGACCAAACAACCGGAAGTCGGGGTTTCCGGCCGCAAAATCATCTACGACAAGGACGGCAAGCCGTAAGTATCTCGTCTACCAATTGCTATGAGCGTTTGCTAACGTGTTAAGCTGTCGCAGTTGCAACACCTTGCTCGACTTCCAGTTTGCCACCGGCAAGATGCCTGGGACCACTGCTGGTGCCGCCACTGCTGGTGCTACTGCTAAGCCTAAGGCTACGTCACTGGCCTACGCTAAAGACGACCCGCCCGATGTCGAACAGTTGGGCCGGTCGCTGTGGACGTTGCTCCACCTGATTGCCGCCAACTACCCGGAGGAGCCTACGACCAAACAACAACGCGACTTGCTGCTGTTCTTGGGGTTGTTCTCGGGGCTCTACCCGTGCTGGTGGTGTGGCGAGGACTTTGAAAAGTACATGGACGCTAAGCCGCCCCAAGTGAAGACCCAGGACGAATTTGGCCGCTGGCTTTGCGAGGCTCACAACGAAGTCAACACTAAATTGGGGAAACCCAAGTTCGACTGTGACTTGTGGAAAAAGAGATGGAAAGACGGCTGGGATGAGTAGAGTACTACCACTACCAAAAACTGCCTTGTATATAGTAAGTTTAAAATGCAGTAGCAATGTATAAATACCCTTTATGGTCTGGTGGCGAACGCCTAGCTCCTGCGTAGAGACAACCCACCACCGAGACCCCCGCGGATGTTGGAGTTTGTTGCTATTCCCGTGGTATTGGGCTTGATGTTGGCAATTCGCCCCGTAAGACAAACGGTGTTCCACACGCTGAGAGTGGCCGTCCGCACGTTGTTTGGCGGGTGGCTCAAGGCGTTCCAAACCCAGCGGTTGATCTACCCCCCCAAGCCGAGCGAGCTCACCACCAACAACCGCATCTTCGAGAACTGGGTCCAGCTGTACCAGGAACTTTTGCGCTACACGTCGTTTAAGGAGCCGACGCTCATCAACTTCTCTTTACCTGACGAAAACTCAAATAAGGTGACGCAGACGCTCTGGGACATCTTGGCTAATCGCGACCAGTACCCTAATGGAAACGAGCAGATCAACTGCGTCAACGTCATGGCCGACGGCACCGACGGCAACGAGATGATGCTCCACTACGGCGTGGGCAAGTTGCCCCAGATCGTGTTGCTTAAGAAACAGATGCCCGTGGGGAGATACATCCCGGGGAACAACTTCAACCCCGAGGACTTGCGCCACTGGATCAGCACCATCCACTAGCCTACTCAATTTAGCTACATTCTTTATGTGATAGTCTGCGCTGCCTCGGGGCCCCGCTTGCCCCACACCTTGGTCCCACACTAAAATACACACGTGATTTGATGACGTCGCCGCATGTGACGCTTCTCCCGTAGCCCCCTCTATCCCGAATGACACTATCTTACCACAAGTGATTATTTGAATATTTTTGTATTAAGCAAAATACCAGTTTGATGTTATGATGTCCCGGAGTTAGCCTGCTCATAGATTAGGTCGTGCCGCAGCGGTGCGCCCGCTATTTGTCATAGTTACCCACATTATCATTCTCTTAGTAATTAGTGAGCGTAGGCCAAACTGCGGGTGCGAACTCTTGTGGAAAATTATATAGCCCCGACACCATGCCCCTCGAACAACCCCAACCGTCGACGACACATCCCGACCTGGCGCCGCATACCTTCCCCTTGATGCTGCCATCAGTCACCCCCACCGTGCTCCAGCAGTTGCCCGAGGACCCCGGCGTCGTCACCCTCAGCGAGGCGGGGGACCAGCTCCGAGCCCAACTACCCAGCCGCCTCCCCAAAGTGAACTGCCTTGCCCGCGCTCGAATCCCCACTACTCAGGGCCCCGAAATCTTCTTGCATCTCTACGAAAACGACTTTGACGACAAAGAGCACCTCGCCATCGTGTTTGGCGAAGATATCCGCTCGAAGCTGCTTTTTCGCTACCGCCCCAAAGATACCCAACAGGACCGGATGATCCGCGGCGCCTACGTCGGCGAGTTGTACCCCGGACGTGTTGAAGCCGACGTCGACACCCGCCAGGGGCTCGAGCTCACCTTCACCGCCGACGGCGAGTTGGTGCGTGACCCCAAGACGACATACAGCGACCCGTCGCTCGTGCGCATCCACCTGGAGTGCTACACCGGAGAGACCGCCTGGCTGGCCCGGTGCGACTGCGGCGAGCAGTTCGACGAGGCCGGGCGCCAGATGGGGCTTCGCGGCCACGGGTGTATTGTCTACCTTCGACAAGAAGGCCGTGGCATTGGCTTAGGGGAAAAGCTCAAAGCGTACAACTTACAGGACCTCGGCGCCGACACCGTCCAGGCGAACTTGATGTTGCGCCACCCTGCCGACGCGAGAAACTTCTCATTGGCGACGGCGATCCTCCTCGATCTCGGGCTCCACGACATCGAGCTCCTCACAAACAACCCCGATAAGATCATCGCCGTCGAGGGCAAGGACCGCGAGGTGCGCGTGATGAAGCGGGTGCCGATGGTCCCCTTGGCGTGGACGGGGGAGAACGGCATCAAGCTGAAGGAGATCGAGGGCTATTTAAGCACCAAGATCGAGCGCATGGGCCACTTGCTAGAGAAACCCATCAAAATTTAATGAGTTTAATGATAGACGCTTACACGTATTTAACTGTAGATCTCCACATCTCCACATCTCCACAACCGTCAGGTTCAATCATTGTCTACAGCATGTTTCTTGGCTGCAGAGGTTCCGTCGCGGCGCCGACAAATGTCGAGTGCGGCAGCCAGCGACGCCGGCTAGCCGACCCGCCGATGCGCTGCGTGACATTTGCATCGAGCATATTTGACGTGTGTGGAGGGCACGATGATCTGGTGGGGTCACAAACAGGCGGGACCCCTCGGGGTAATCGGGAGAGCAGAAAAAAAAAAAAAAAAAAAAAANTGGCTGAGCCTCGCTTCCATACATCGCGTCGAGATCATCTTCACGCATAGACGGGGTGTATAGTCTACGCTTCCAGCTGCTTTGGTTGAGAGACACCGACCATCCCCGAGGGAGCAATTCTGATTGTGAGACTGTCACCAACTACTGCCACCACTAGCAAGGTACACAGGTCACTTTGAACTACATATACAATCTAAATGCATTAACGTAAAGCACATATATCCCTTATCCCTCCACCTGCATTTACCATTGATCATTGTCCCAATTAATTTTTCTCTAATCTTCTTGGCCACCCCTGGTTGCGAGCCCCCGCAGGTTGGCTCGCGGAGTGGCTGCTCACAAAACTTTTTTCAAAAGTATGCTCCTGCCACTCAGCACCCCATGGCTGACAAGCAGGAAACTAAACGCCGCCGGGTCACTCGGGCGTGCGACAACTGTCGACAGAAGAAGGTCAAGTGCGACGGGAAACAGCCGTGTATCCATTGCACCGTCTATTCCTACAAATGCACCTACGACCAGCCCAACATCCGCAACAAGCGTAATCTGGGGATACCCCAACTGCTGCCCAACGCGGGCGTGATCGGGTCGGCAGCGCTAGGCTCGGTCCATAAACCCGTCCCCAAAGCCCTGCCGTCAAACAACTTGATCCTCGCCCAAAACATCTTGAACTTGTTGTTGCCCAAACTCAAACTTAATTGCCTCGATGACGTCCATCCAATGAAATTCGACTTTGACAAATTCCAAAAAGTCGTCCAGTATTTGGAGCAGCGCAAAGGCCTGGTCAACATGCTGGAGGTCATGGACTTGTACCTAGATGGTAACCCGGCCCCTTCGATCACGTCGGCGACCGCGTCGCCGGTGTCGCTGAGTCGTCGCCTACTGAATTCCCTGGAGGAACAAATGAACTACCCCCGCGAGATCCGCCTCATATTACCCCCGAAGGAAACCGCCCTCCAACTAATATATACCACGTGGGAAAAGGCGTGCGTGTTGTTTCGTTTTTACCACCGCCCGTCCCTCTTGGACGCCGTCGACGCCATCTACCTGATGGACCCGTCCCAGTACGGCGACAAGCAACAAAAGTTCTTGCCCTTCTTGTACTCGATCTTGGCGTGCGGGTCGCTTTTCAGTAAGCTGGCAGAACTGCTGCTGGCAGACAATGAGGGCTACGAAGACGATGGGTTTCGCTACTTCTTGGAGGCGCGTAAGTTGATTGATATCTCTAACGTCGGCGACATCTCGTCGATCCAAACGATTGTCATGATGATCATGTACCTCCAGTGCAGTGCCAGATTATCGACTTGCTACTCATATATCGGTATCGCCCTCCGGCTGGCCCTAAAAGAGGGATTGCACCGAAACTTGTCCATATTCCAGAATGGCCATCGCAAGCTCGACCCCATCGAGATCGACACCCGCAAAAGGTTGTTTTATACCATCTACAAGATGGACATATATATCAACTCGTTATTGGGCCTCCCCCGATCGATCAATGAGGATGAATTCGACCAAGACTTCCCCGCTGAACTTGACGACGAAAACATCACTCGGTCAGAGTATCTTTATGAGAACCAACAGGGACGATTATCCTCTTCGGGATGCGCCAATCACCACACTAAATTGATGTTGGTTTTGAGTCATATCATCCGCAAGCTTTATCCTATTAAGGTGAAGAAAACCAAGCAAGAACTGGATAATGCTCCCCCGACTCCTGATCACATTCACACTAAGGTCACCGAGTTGGAAATGGAACTCAAAACTTGGTTGGATAATTTACCTAAAGAACTCCGCCCGACTGATCCTAACGACCCCACCAGTGACAAGGATATCCCGCCAAAGTTTTTGTTGGCCAACTATTACCTTCAATTGTCATTTCTCAACTGTCAAATCATGTTATACCGACCATTCATTCACTTCGTCAGCAACCAAAACCCGGCCCTCTTATCTAGCCACGATCCGAGATCGCTCATACGGGGCCGTAATTGCATCAAGGTTGCTCGTATGGTGGTGAAGTTGGCCAATAAGATGATTGACCAGAAATTATTGGTGGGGACGTACTGGTTCCTGATGTACACTATTTTCTTCTCGATTGCTTGTCTCATCTATTACTACCATTTCGCAAATACTCTGTCCGACTCGCCTGACGCCGCTCACGGCGGTAACTACGCCGGCGTGTTATTTGATGACGACTTGGACATTGACCAGATCAAAAGAGACATTGAGATCGGTAAAAAAGTGTTGGACTGCCTCAAAAACAACTCCAATGCTAGTTTGCGGATCTACAATATCTTGAACACGTTGTTTGAGCAGTTGAACCGCCGGACCGCCAGCACCACGCGTGCCCACGGCACCAATGGCTTCAACTTCAAGAAAGCCACTATTGAACTGGCCTCTGATCGTCTTGATCGCCCGACGATTGAAGCCCCTAAACCGCAAAGTGCAACTGCGGCCAGTACGGCCTTGGCCCAATCGCAACTGCAGCCCGTGAATCTGACCAACGGTAGTAATTACCTGGCGTACTCACTTCAAGATAGCCAGAGTGAGGATCCGTTGGGGCAAGCGTTCTCCTACATTAAATCTGTCAACAAGCAACCGGAGACGGATGATGATTTCCTGAACTCCTACGTCCCGGGGGTTTTCGACAAGTTGGATGCGCAGATCTTCGGTAAGATTTTGCCTCCTTATATGCTTGAGAAGAACTACCAGATCCAGCGGGCTCTGCTGCAACGGAACACCCCCACCGACACTAGAGCCAACTCTCCTGCGCCCCAGGGCCAGTTTAATGCTCAGGCTGGTCAAGACGGTGCCACTCGCCAAGCCACCAACGACGCGCCTGCTTCTAGTGGTGAACGGTTCGGCCTGATATCAAACCTTAGTGTCGATTTAAACGAATTGCCCAACGTAAAGATGGAAGACCTTGACTTCATGTCATTTGGCGACGCTAATCTTGACTACTTGGACCCGTTCAACCCCATGCCCAACTCAAAAGGGGACTCGTACCCCAACCTCGAGTTTAATGCCGATCAAAATAACTGATGTAACGATAATGTACGATATCTCCTCTGTATACACGATATTTGTGGCGGTGCGCATTTTAGCGGCAAACTCGCGCACACCGGATCCGTGACCATGGCCACTCTACGCAAGGCCAAGATACTCGTCGACCAGCTTCTGGAGACACTACAGGAACGGAAGCGTATCATAGAGGTCATCCGGCTTACCCCCAGTGAAAATGATAACTTCGAACTCCGCCAGCTCGTCGACCGCATCACTCGTGAATTAGGTAGCTTGCGGGAACAGGCGACTAATAACGACGTGAACGAGTATAACGAATTGATTGACAAGTACGAGAAGCTACTTCTGGGTATCGATGATGAGTCAGGACTTGAAATCAGTGCCTACAAGGTGGAAAAACTTACGGAGAAAGCAGACACACCGAAAGAGGTGAGGTTCGAGGAACACAAGCAAATGGAAATGCAGCCGTACGATCCGTTTGCCGAACAGACCTTTAAGCCCTACCGAGATGATGAAGAGGAAGTGACTAATAACGATCCCCAAGATATGCCAAACCACCAGATGTTCGCTCAACACCAACAAACGATGCTTGAACAGGACGAGGAGCTCGACCACTTACACCAGTCTGTACAACGACAGCACTCGATGGGGCGAGCCATCCACGACGAACTTAACGACCACATTGTGTTGTTGGACGATCTCGAACGCCAAGTTGATGACAGCACGTTCAACTTGGACCGGGCCCAGCGGCGTCTTAATCACTTCCGCAAACAGGCGCAAGAAAACGGTAGTCTCGTGACGATCATTGTGCTTACAGTGATTTTGATTACGCTTTTAGTCGTTTTGAATTAAGGCACGAAGTACTATAATTGCATCCGCTTAAATATGCTATTCTTAGAAATTAAAATCGTCATTTTCCTCGCTTTCCTCGGAGAAGAACCAGATGAATATAATGATGTCGGCGTAGACAATCAACCCACCCGTCATACTCATGATCATTGACCCCATTCCGATCGTTCCACAATGGTAGAAGGTCAACGGCAAGGCGATACCCAGTACCACCAAGAACCCTGTGAGCGTCCCGCAGAACTCCAGAAACGCCAGCGGGGCGTTATTATCCTGAAACGTGAGGAAGTTGTCCCGAGAGTTGGCCACGGAACTGGCCACAATATTGGGCAACGGCGCCAAAAGGAAGATCAAAATCACCCAGAGCGGGTGGTAGTTGTTGTAGAGGGCGCATGAAAGGAGGATGAGGAGGAACCCCAGCGCAAGCACCGCCGAAAGGAAGATGATCTTATTGAGCGGGTTCGGTTTCATGACTCAGCAAGCGCCTCCGATAGACCACAATAGCCAGTGATGGACGTAGATGCTGCACAATTGGAGTGGCGTAGTCAGGGTGGTGATCAAAGATTGTGTATCGGTGAGACGTGCGCCCTCGCTGCAGGAAACGCGCAATCGCTCAGTTAACTACGGCGGTGAAATTAAGGAATAGTATATATTTGGTACTTCTAAAATCAAGTTTCATAGGAAGCCACCGGGGTCCACGTGGGAGGGTTCTGGCCAATGGGCCGTTCCTTAATCGTAGTGACCTTCTTCGTCGTCCCGTCGGCAAGAGTGTCAGTGGTGACTTCGGTCCATCTGATCTTGTCAGTCTTGGGGACGGGTTCGTACTTCGAGTGGGAACATTGACTAATTACCACGTCATCGCCTTCTTTGTTGTGCCACTTGCGATTGCTAGCCTCAGCCTCGCTTTGGTGCTTCTTGTACTTCTCGTCCTTCCAGTCGAGCAAGCTCTTGTACAGAGTGAACCAGTAGCCCCGTGCACCGAGATCGATCTCGTCTGATTTAGGGTCCTTGTTATCTGTCTTACACGCCTGTATCAAGTCATCCTTAGTCAAAATCTCGTCCTTGTACACTTGGTCTTTGATCTTGAGCACTTCAGGGGAGATAGCTGAATTAGGGAACAAGCAACGCCAATATCCGTAGTCGTCCCACACAGATGCACCTTTCTTGACCTTACACTCATCATAAGCCTTCACGCCAGGGTTCACCTTGGAGTAGAAACCGAAGGGAGTCTTCCCTTGCACCGAATTGCCCAGGAACAGGTCGCTGAACTTTTTAAACGCTTGACGAACCCAAGGGTCAACATCGTCCAACCCGTAGGCAACATTACCCTCGATGCGGTTGAAGGGAAGACCCTGGTTTTTTACCTTTTCCCAGTCTGGGTCCTTGTACTCAACCTTAGAGCTGTCGGTGCCAGTGAGGAAGTCATTGAATTCCGTAAGCAGATCGACAGCAGCAGCAGCCAATTGGTTCATGGAATCAGGCATCAACTTCTTAAGCTTATTGAAAGTATCATCATCGAAACCCAATGCTGCCGACACCAGGTCGGGGAATTGAGCGATGACACCCTTGAAATCGGTCTCCTTGTCGTTCTTGTCCGAGCCAGCCATTAGCAAGATTGCCGATTTATGCCCAATCCGATCGTCTTAAATACCCCCTCATACTTCCGAATAGGCTTAAACTCGAGGGGCAACAATTGTACGAGAAATTACCCCTCCGTCTCGAGGACATTACACAATTGACTTCGGAACTATATTAGCGAGCTATCCGATGGATCAATTGACGGTCTATCGTCTTGAACTCGATACCTTTTGGTGGAAATCGGGAGTATTTGGTCCGTATCGTATGAGCCTCCCTACACTGATTATCGTATCCGCGTACCGCCGCTTCCGAGACCCCACCCCTTAACCATTAACGAGAAAAAGCAACGAGTGGGTTCAATTATATAAGCGCAGTCTAGACGAAGCGCAAATAATATCGACTGATTTCAAATACTTTTGATTCACTAACCACCCATAATTCAATTCAGGGTACTAGGTTTGTCTTAGCTCAAGTCACACATGTAGCTTCGACAGCCGTGTAACTAAATGCGGCTACTTTTGTATGAAACATCTGCAACCCCTTAATTGGCGGAGATGAAAAGCCACCCATCGACGGGAATGTCGGAACTATATAATCGACACACCGCTTACGGAGTTGTGTTGCCGGGGATGCGAGCGCTACCAACGCGCACTAGACGCCTGGGGTAATATCGGAGAGATCGAGACATACGATGAGGTCACTTCGATGGTACCTGAAATTTTCCCTTAAAAAAAAGCCAGCAGTGGTACCGCTGACACAGACAAGCCCACAGACTATTGGTCCTGCGCGGACACGGTTCGCTCCGTCGCCCACAGGGTTTCTTCATTTGGGCTCGCTCCGTACCGCCTTGTACAACTATCTCCTCGCCAAGTCTACTGGAGGACAGTTTCTCGTCCGATTAGAGGATACTGACCGTCAACGATTGGTCCCTGGTGCCGAGCAAAACATCTATGACTCCCTCAGCTGGTGTGGGCTCAAGGCCGACGAGTCACCCGTGGTGGGAGGTCCTTACGGGCCGTACCGCCAAAGTGACAGAATGGCCATTTACAAAGAATATGCCGACAAGTTGATTGCTCTGGGCCATGCGTACCGCTGTGACTGCAGTAAGGATCGTCTTAATGCATTGAGGGAGCTGGCAATGAAGCTTAAGCCGCCGACCACAGTCACTTATGACCGGAAATGCTTGCACGATCACGTTGAGACCGGAGGGGTGGTCAGATTCAAAAGTCCTGATGAATACGAACCGTTCACTGATAAAGTGCACGGTGATTTGAATTTGCAACCGCAATACAACTACCAGGACCGTCGTTATGATGATTTTGTGATCTTGAAGTCGGATGGCATGCCCACCTATCACTTTGCCAACGTGGTGGATGATCATCTCATGAAGATTACGCATGTGATCAGAGGTGAAGAGTGGCTTCCGTCCACCCCTAAACATATTGCACTTTACCGAGCCTTCGGCTGGGAGCCTCCTCAATTCGTTCACATTCCGTTGTTGACTTCATTGGCCGATAAGAAGCTTTCGAAGCGCCAGGGAGACATTGGAGTGATGTCTTTCAGAGATAAAGGGGTGTTGCCTGAGGCTTTAGTGAATTTTGTGGCGCTTTTCGGGTGGTCACCTCATCGTGACACCCCCGGTTTGTCTGTGGAAGAGTCTATGACTTTGGAAGACATTGTCTCGAAATTTTCGTTGGAGAACTTGACTCGTGGTAACGCTAAGGTTAACGACTCGAAGCTTTACTATTTTAACAAACATCATTTGGCGGAGAACATCAAGAATCCTGAAAAATTGGCTTCGCTAGTTGAAGACTACCAAAGACTCACAAACAACAAATACCCGGAAGAGTGGGTCACTAAGTTGATCAAGTATGCTGGGCCCAGTGTATCATCAATCAATGACATCGAGTCGCAACATCCTTACCTCTTCAAGCCTGTCGACTACAACGCCGCACAAAAGCCCCCAGCCAATGCTGAGGATATTCTTGCCTTGCTCAACAGCTCTTCCGACTTCAAGAAGCTGGTGAATGAACTCGCCAAACAGGGATTTGCTAAGAAAGATATATTCCAGCTGGCACGTTTTGCTTTATCGGGTGGAGTATCGGGGCTTGCCATTCCCTTGGTGATTGAACTTATTGGTCAGGACGAGTATCACGCTCGTTTGTCGGCAGCCTTAAACTACTTAAAATGTTAGCATGCACTTGTACATAGATATTACATTACTTGACTAATGCACGGAAGTCGAGATAGTTGCCGGCAGTTGCGCGAGACACAAGGTGGTCTGAGTCGGCAGCATAAATGCAATGAATCGCCATATCCTTCGAGTAGTACAACCCTGTCAAGAGTTTGGGCGTGACCAAAAAGTATTGCGATTCGGGGGAGACACTAGCAGTTTGCACTAAATTGCGATGCGCCGCCCGTTCATTGGTGGGGTCCATACCTTGGTTGATTTCATCAACAACCCGGAAGGGGGCGTCGGTAAGGCCTTGTATTGACATGATGAAAAAGATGGTGGCGACGGCTCGCTCCCCGCCAGATTGAGATTGGTGATCAAGTACCTTCAATGGCGCAGTCGGTCTGAACTGAGTGAGGATTCGTAGCTCGTAATCGCGGTATCTATCGGCTATACCAAGTTCAACTCGACCGTCACTTGCAACATCTTTAGTGAAACGCCTATTGAATTCATCAGAGATTCGCTCCACATACTCCTTCAATGCCGATAGCCAACGAGGCAGCAATTCCTCAATCTTTAATGCATTCTCTTGGATAGTGGCCTCGAGCTGAGGAATGCTATTAGCGATTTTGTCAAGATCCTGTTGTTTTCTGTGGAAGTTTTCGATGGCCGAACGATCAGAGTTCCCTTGCAATGTTAGAAGCTCTTCCTCCAAATGCTGAACCTTTTCGATCATGTTGGCCTCGCTGAATGTTTCAGCAGTTTTATACTCGTTCATCAAACCTTCAACTCGTTGTCTTAAATGGAGATCCGCACGCTCGTAGAATAATCTGATGGCATTTTCAATCGCAATCGACCGGTCAGTAGACTTAGCATCTTGATACGCTTTCTTAGCAGCTTGATAGACCTGCTTCATATCCTTGCCAATGGCATCAAGTTGCGACATTAAACCTTGCGCATTGCGTGATCGACTTTCAGCGTCGATGTACTTGAATTCCACGAACTTATACTGAGCCAATGCTCCCACGCGAGTGCCAAGATGATTAGAAAGATCCAAGCGCTTTCTCGCGAGCGCTCTATGAGCTTGCACAAGTTCCTCTTGAGACTTTTTGACCTCGTCAGAAAAATGTTCCGGAGAAAGCGTCTCGAGCTCGCTGATTTCACTTTCGACCTCTTTGATACGCTGTTCGACTTTATCATGATCCTTGTTCACCTTCACTTTTGTGTCTCTATGGCGACCAAGGTCATTGAATTGCTCCTGCAAGTCCTTCACCTCATCTCGTTTGCCACGCATACCATCCTCCAAAGTTTGAATTTCTGCAGTAATTTCACGCAATTTTAGATTGAGTTCAGCCTTAGCCTGCTCAATTCTTTGGATGCCATCTTCAGTGAGCCCCTTATTGTTCCCAAAATATTGTGCATTGCGAATCTTTTCGGTGGTATACCAAAGATCCCGGGACCCATAAGCGGACTTCTTCATATTGTACAGAGAAAAGTTCTCCATAAAGCGTCGTACGCGGTGTTGAGTGAAAAGGCTCTCGCTTTGAGCAATTCTAGACACCAAATCAGGGTTCATTGCGGCTTTCTTGACGGGAATCAAGTTAAGATATAACGTGCTGATAAGCATTTGGATCACTTCTTTAGGGCCTTCCAAAAAGTCAGACAAAACGCCATCAAATCCATACTCGGCAATGACGTTACGCGACAAGTTTGGTGCCTGTTCCCTCGAGATCACACGAAGGGGAGCATTGATATCACTGCCCAACAATTTTTCGATACGTTTGGCGTCCTCATTTGAGGTGACCGTGATTGAAAACCTCGAGTTATTATCCATAGCTGCTTCAAGATACTTGGCGTATGAAGGGTCTTTAGCCCAACAGGATACAACTGGACACTCCCAGTAGGTAGGAACATTCTCACCACTCTCTTTTAATCTGCGTAAGCGAAGATGAGCTTGATAAGACTGAGCGCGGATTTGGAAACGATAATTTCTACCATGTCCTCCGTTACCTTCAGGATCTAACTTCAGCAAGTTGTCAGTGGTAGTAAGACGTCTGTCGTACTCTTTGATTTGATTGGAGCACTGTTTGGCTTGGCGTTGTAAGTCGGAAATCTTGTCCCTATTGATATCAATATCTCTCTGAATATCCGCTTGTTCCGACCGAAGGCGATTACGCTCATCTCTGATTTCATCGATTTCGGATTGATCCACACGATCGGGTAATTCCTTCAATCTTTCCAAATACTTTTTTCTTTCAGCATTCTTCTTCAGTAACAACTTCTGTGAGTCCATGGCTTTCTTCCGCTTCAAAACAATCTCACCTTGGATAGATTTGAAATTTTCACGGTATCTGTCAATTTTGTCCTCAAGTGTATGTTGTGTCTGCTTGAGAGTTTTCAAAGAATCAGAATTACGTCCTTGGCGTAGCCTATCGGCCTTGACCGTGGCCTCCTCGAGAATGTTTCTCATGGGTTCAAGCAGCTGTTCATGTCTTTGAAATAATAACTTTGCTTCTTCGTAGTCCTGCTTGGTTTGTTGAAGCTGATGCGCCATATCGTGTTTCTGAGCAAAAGGGATTAACTCACGATGCATATCGACAACGGTCTTTTTCGCTTGGTACAGCTCATAGGCATCCTTCTCCTCCATGAGTTTGTCACGTTCGACCTCGAGCGTCTTTTGCATCTCTAGCAAGCGTTCCCTCTCGTCCTCACTCTCCTGAAGTTCGTTGTCCCAAGCGATCAATTGTCGGTGCCACTTCAACAAATGGCCATCACCCAACGTACGCTGAATTTCTTCAAGGAGCTTTTTGGAGTCCATCAGGGCAAACTCAGACACTCTTTCCTGGGGCAAAAAGTGGCACAAGTTATTGAGCTGGATATTAAATTCCTTAACCTTCGCTAACACTTCTTTCTCCAGCTTTAACAAACCATTGATGTACCAGGTCAGAGTTTTGGCATTGAAGTCTCGCCTGATGACGATGTTGGCAGGGTTATCGACCAATTCCACCTCGACCAGAGCCAGCGACTGGCCCGCCCGGATCATCAGCTTCATGTTGTCGCGACTAATAAGCTTGGGGTCGCCGCCCAAGCCGAGGCAGATGGCCGCCACCAATGTCAGTTTCCCCGTACCATTGGGCCCGATGACAAGGTTCAACGTTGGCGAGCAGCGGAACTCGCCATCGGCGTATGTGGTGAAGTTTTTGACCGTCACCCGAGCGATCTGGCCGCGGTGGAATTTGTCGGTGCGACGACGTTTTGGCAGCAGCGACCGAGTCGACAGCTCGGTCGTGCTGCTATCCTCCGTTTGGTGTCGTCCCCGTTTACGGGAGCCGCCCGGGGCCATGAGGATGTATTGATGGGGTATGCGCGTTTGACGCGTTGAATCAGGGATCATCGAGGTCGCCAAAGTGTGGCGCATGACCCCCTACTACACAAACCAAACGAGATAAGAATTTGCTGGATTTATGAACGAATAGAAACAAAGACAGATTCATAAATAAATGGTTTTCAAAACAATAATATCGCTTGATTTTAGCGAAACCGCCACCGATAGTGTTGATCTAGGGAGGTGGTGGATTTTCGCACCTCGCCTGCACACAGCCACATTCTGTTTACTTTTCATCAGATCAATACCACGTTATACACTACCAAGCATGGTAAGTCGACGACCGGTACCCGCCACGGGCACGCCACCTGACCAACTGAGACCATACTAACAATACAGAGCAACAACAAGACATACAAGGATGCCTTCGCGCTATTCGACAAGAAGGGGTCGGGCAAGATCCCTGCCGAGCATCTCGGCGACTTATTGAGAGCGGTGGGGCAAAACCCTACCCTCGCCGAAGTCAGCGAATTGCAAAGTGGCATTGGCTCCGAATTTGACTACGCCACCTACGAGAAGATCATCCAGAGACCCGACGGGTTCAAGCCGTTGGGGTTGCCGGAAGACTACATCAAGGGGTTCCAGGTGTTCGACAAGGACAACACCGGCTACATCGGTGTCGGTGAGTTGAGATACATTTTGACCTCGATTGGCGAGAAGTTGAGCCAGTCGGAAGTCGACGAGTTGTTGAAGGGGGTCAACGTCACCGACGACGGCAACGTTGACTACGTGGAGTTCGTCAAGTCGATCCTTGACCAGTAGGAGCCGAGGGGTTTAAGTAGCTCAATACCACAAATGCTTGTTAGAATCGAATAGGACTATTTTTGTGTAGCGAGTTTTTATAGCGACAATAGCTTTCATATATTAGCCGCATACCGTTTGGGGCCGAGCGCGACCGCCGTCTCACTCGTACCTCAATATCATGGACCCGTTGAGGAACCAGCGGTTCCATATGAAGCCCGAGCAGCGGCTTGAGGCGTTCTCGTTGACTGCAGGGATCATCGGGGGGATGACTGGTTTCTACGAAGGGGTGAAGATGCTGTCGCTCCGCTTCCTCACCGAGAACGGGCATCGGCTACCGCAGAACGTTGGGGGCTGGTACTTCTACCACAAGAAAAAGAACTATGTGATGATTCTTCTGGGGGTGAAACAGGCGTTCAAAGTGGGCACTAAGTACACGCTTGCTGTGGGGACCTTTTTCGGGCTCGAGGCCACCCTCGATAGGGCTCGCGGGTCCGTCGACTGCTTGAACACTCTGGCGGCGGCGGCGATATGTCTGGCGAGTTACGCGATATTTAACCGTATGAGGGGCAGTCAGATCCGTAAGTTTACCATTCGTGGTGGGGTGATGGGGCTCTGTCTTGGTTTTGCCCAGGACTTCTTGATTTACGCTCGTGGCGGTGATGTGTGGTACTTGGAGAGTATGGGAGTGAAACACCCGCAAGTAGCTCAAGCGTCGCCGCTGGCTGATGCTCCGGTGCTGATAAGAGCGCCGCCGGCCTGACCAAATTTCTAACCTGTATATATATATATATATTATGTAAAATCATCTAATGACATTATCACGCTCGTATCACTCATCATCGTCGTCATCTTCTTCCAAGTCGTCGTCAAGGTCAGGTACCGGGTATTTAAGCAACGCCGCAATTCCCGTCAATTGATTGAGCTGGACCCCCAGATCGTGTAAACTGGAGAAGATAAGCACTTCCGCCCCCAACGCTTTCGCCCGCTCGGTGAGATCAATGTAATGGCGCCGTTCTTGAATGTCATCGCTTCGGAATAAACTATCAGAGACCATAAGGTACCGCACAGCGTCGATGTCAAGCGCCTTCTCCACTTCGGCCCTGCCGTACCACGCACGACCATCATCGTCGTTAAGTGCCGTTTCAAATTGGTGTAACACATCCAGCTCAGCGGCAAACTTGGTTTCAGCCAATTGCTTCTTGACAGCAGGATCAGTAAGTGCTTCTTCTAAACCCTGTAAGTAACCGGTGGACGAGTGGGCGATGATCACTTTACTCTTGTTTTTGAGCACCAGTTCAAACATCTTCTTCTCGGGACCTCCCAGCAGCACTCCTGCCTGAGCCGAAGTGAAGAGTTTATCGTACAACAGCTTCGCCACAAACCCGGGGGACACGAACATGATGACTTTAAGCCGGTCAAAGTCAAAATGTCTCAACATCGTTTGTAAGGTGTTCGTCAAGAACTTATCCACCGCCTGGTCGTGGTCTTTGCTGCCGTACTGAGTGGATTTTCGCGGGATTGACTTCTCCACTTTCGCCTTAAGCACCGTCATACTATCGGTAATAAAACAAATGTGCGCCACACCTTCCTGAAGCACCACCGCACCAACATCAGCTTTGCTTTCGATGTTAGACAAGTCGTTTAAAATAGTCATATCGTATTCGTCCCAGCTATCCTTGATAATGGTGAGATTAGCCCCCAATTCGACATCGATGGTGTGGTACGAGTTCAATGGCACGTTTTCATTGGGCTCAATCAGCTTACCCAGGATCCGCATATCATCAGCACTGGACACGTAGTCGACATCTTCCACCTGAAGTTTCAAAGTTAACGCCATCTTCTCCACTTTAGCCTTACCCTTGTCGCCTTTCTTGACCATGCGATGAGTCAGCGCCACCACGGTATCGCCTTTGGCCACCAAATTATAAATATACCACAAGTCCTCAGCGTCTTGAGGGACGACGGTCAACGCCACCCGCTTATCCTTAAGCTTGACCTTATTCTTCACAATCATCGCTAGTATGGCAAACTAGCAGGGGTCGCACTGAAAAAAGCCAATGAGGCAGACTACAATCGTCACCGCTTCAGATATAGGAAATTCGAATTAGCTGAGTAAGTAGTTGTATACATATATATACAGGGGGTCGTGGAAAACGAGAGTGAGAGGAACAGACGCTTACTTGACGTCGGCGTTGACGATGGTCGAGTTGTGGCAGAGCTCGCCCTTCTTGTTGACCAACTTGGCGGGGGGCTTGCCTTCGACGGTGTAGGTAACTTCGAAGGCGTCGTTGGTGGAGAAACCCGGTTGCACCGCTTCCCAGATCTTCTTCTTGGGGTTCAATTGCTTTTCGGGTTCGGCGTCGTAGCCTTCAAAGAAGATCTTGTCACCCGGTTGCGACCCAGGAGGAGGGTTGACGAATTCAACCTTGTCGTCCTTAGACGCACACAACACCATGGCACACAGCTTGATGCCTCTCATGGTGACGGGCTTCAAGTTGGCCACGGTGACGACGTATCTCTGTTGCATGTCTTCCAAAGGCACGTACTTGACGAGACCCGAGCACACGGTTCTGGGCCCTTCTTCGTCGCCCATCTGGATCGTCGACACGTAAAGGGCATCGGCGTCGGGGTGCTTGACACACTTTTCGATGAAACCGACACGGAAGTCGATCATACCGGGGTTAGGAGGCACCGCCGCCGCTTGGGGCTTCTGGTTGGCGGCAGCCTTAGCCTTCTTCGCTTCCTTCTTGGCCTTGGCTTGTTCGGCACGCTTTTGCTTTTCCTCTTCGGTAAGCTCCTTTTGGTTACCGCCCTTGGCCTTGGCATCGCCACCAGCAGCGGCAGCGGCATCGCCCTTCTTGTCCTTCTTGTCCTTCTTGCCCTTAGCATCGGCACCAGCGGCGCCAGCGGCGTCCTTCTTCTTCTTCTCCTTCACTTCCTTGGGGAGCTCGATGTCGAGGTTGACCACAAGCTTATCGGGGACTTCGATAAGACGGTTTTGCACCAAGTAGGCCCATCTGAGGATGTGTCTGTACTTGGCGATTTGGTCGATGCTGGTCCACTTGACGGCGATGGGGTAGACAGTAGCGAACACGGTGAAGTCGGCTTTGGACGGGACGTTACCGGCAATGAAGGTGCGGGTTCTCAAGTTGTCGTTGAGGGCGGTCAAAGTTTGCGGCTCGTCGAGTCTGTTGGCGAGGGTGCAAAATTGCAGGGCAAGCGCCTCTTGTTCGGGGGTAAGCGTGAACACCGACAAGTCCGCTTGGGCCACGTTGGCCAACGACACCGGCTTGAAGTTGTTGAAGGCGTCCATTTATGAGGTTGTGGTGGGGTGAGAGGGGGAGCGGGTGAGGTGATCGATGGCTGAAAAATCTCGCCCGTTTTAGATTATATGCAGGAAAACCCCACACCGAAAAGCTGATAACGATAGTGTGATGAATAACCACAATCATCGGTACAGCTTTTTATTATTAAGAAAGTTTCATTATGTCATTACTATTAGTCGAGTTATTCATGCTGTTTCACCTCGGGGTTGACGGTGAGCCCCAACATCTCCACCGTCGACCCTTTACCATATAAGGGGATATCGTCCAAGTAGATACTGGTGGTGCTGGCCTCGGTGGGGGAGTCGCCGGCACTGGTGGTGGCACCGCTGCTCCCGTTGAAGCTGATGCGGCTGGCGCCGGCTCCAGCAGTGCCCAAGTTTGACAGCTGGACAACGTTGTTGAGCAAATTATCAAAGGCACTGGCGGTGATTTCGATGGCTGAGGGCGTCGAGATGCCTGCCAGTGCTGACAGCGGGTTATTAGTGCCTGCCACTGAGGCAATGGCGGCGGGAGTACCCCCCGATATCTGTGGAGTCAGCGCCACTGTGGCTGCTCCCAGAGCCGCTCCCAGCGTCTTATTCGGTGCCAGAGTGCCCGGTGCCAGCAGCCCCAGGGCTCCCGACCCCACCTGAAGCTGGCGCTTATTGTTATATGAGTGGACCCCGTCCAGAAGGTGGAATTTGGTCATATCGTGGATAAGTTCCATTGAGTTTTTCATCGCCAACACACTGGCCAAGAGCCGGGAACTGACGATATCAAAGATTTTTGGCGCCTGGTAGATATTGGCGCCGATGACGTAGTAGTCCTCAAGCGGCTCTGTCCGTGACGGCGGCGGGTCGTTATTGTTGTTATCAGTAATCTTCTTCTCTCCTAGCGTCCGTCGCTGTTTGCGGATGACCCAGAAGTCGGGCTCCCTTGTATAGGCAATGGCATACTCGACGCCGTTCATCCAGGCAAGCTTGCTTTGGAGATACTGGTAGAATGTCATCCCTTGGGGGATTTGCACCTGCTGGTGCTGGAACTGCATGATGACGGTCTGGTTATTCGACGTCCGGTCGTAGAACGGCGACAACCCAAAGTACTCGAGGACGTTACCGGTGTGGAGCCCGCGCTCCTGGATGAACTCCGGCAGCTTCCATTGGATCTCGTCGAGCGCTTCGTTCATGGAGAAGATGAATGGTAGTGCGCGCCAACGTTTTGTGGGACAACTGGATAAGTATATTGATGGATGAAGCGAGTATTAAGAATTTGATATGAAATTGAAGAGAATATTTCCAATGTACCATAGCAAGGACTTATGTAAGGGTGATTTCGTATTGTATGATCAAAAGACCAACGAATGGTGGCATTGTAAGAGGTTGAGATAAATAAAAAAGTAACCAAGCTTCAGGTTAAGATCGTCTTGGGTATGTCATCAATTATCGTGTCTATACAGTCCCCGCTCAGTAGCTTTTGTCGTGGAGAACGCGTTCAAAGTCAAAGTGGGTCGCCACCGCGTCCTCGCGGCGCTGGCGATCAATATCGGCGATGTAAGCGCTCAATTGGCGGCGCAACGACTCCGTCTCCTGGGCCATGTCTTCAGCGGAACGGTCGACTCTGTCGGCGTCCTTCTGTTCAAGCTCGGCGCCGTGGTGGTCGCGGTAAGCCTTTTTGCGGGCAAAGAACTCCTTATACTCTTCCTCAAGGTCCAGCTGTTCCAACGCCTTATAGATGGAGTCGCCCCAACCGTCGTCCTTATGGCGAGGGATGATATGGGTGTGGAGGTGCGGCACCAGCTGGCCCAGCTCGGGCCCGTCTTGTATGGCAATATTAAGGGCGTCGGCTTTATACGTCTGCTGGATGAACTTGTGGATGAGCTGGATGGTGTTCATGTAGTCGGTCAGCTCTTCCCACAGGAGGTCGGCGAGTCTGAGCACCAGCGTCCGCAAGGGCACCACTAGCACGTGGCCGGGGACCAACGGGCGCACGTTGACGAGCGCGTAGCAGTACTTGGAGCGGAAGAACACCTGGCTGGTGACGACCCATTTGTAGAAGTATATCTCTGACATTTTGGCGATGAATTGGTTGTATTAATCAGGGTCAATTGCCGCCGAAGAGGGCAAGCGGGCGCCGGGCGAATTTATACTATGGCGGGTGCGCGACCGGCGCAAGCCGCCCCACCTAAAAGATAAGACAGAGAGAAAACACTAAACGATTATGCGTAATGATTACGGGGTGCGGTTAAGCAAGTAGCTATTGATGTTGGCGCGGATGGCGTTGGCCTTGGTGGCACAGGCGTCTAACGTAGTAGTGACGCCGCTGGCGTCGCCGTCGAGCCACATGCCGACGATGCCGTCGTCGGCCAACGCCATGAAACTGGCGACGCCGGCGCCGCTGGCGCCCAGGGTGACGACGTCCCTCACCTCGATCTCGGCATCGACAAGCGCCACCAGGGCACAGTTCACCATCCACAGCGCAAGCCGGTGGAGGTTGCTGGGGTCGTCGCAGGCCATCACATGGACGTAGACGTCGATCGTCAGCTTGGGGTACTTGCTAAGGAGCACCAGCGGCAACAAGCTCGTCTCGACAAACAGCGACAACCGCTGCTCGACGCCAGTGAGCTCCAGGAAGTTGGGGGCGCCGTCGGTGCCCTGGGGGACGTGGGGCATAAACTTCGTCTCCACCAGGAACAGGCCTCGACTGATGAACAGGTTATTTATCGGGCGCGGGCCATACACAGAACATGCTAATATGATCAGCCCGTCGCCCACCTCCATGTAGCACAGCCCGTTGGCGTTATCGATGTTGCCCGCTTGTACGAAAAACTTGTCTTCGGTGGTGGCATCGGACATGGTGACGTCTTTTTCTGGCTCATTATCCTTAGGGTTTGATGATATCCCCACGGCGGGGGTGATGGCGTTTGCCGGTCCTAGCAACCGTCGTCTGTCCATTTATTTGGGGAGATTTGATATATGGCGATGGCGACGCTAAGATGGGCTTTAGTGCGCGCTGCGCGGGGCGCCGCGAGCGATGGGCACACTAACATTTGGAGTTATATGAAAGCTGTGTTTATACTCGTACAAAAAGTGTCTCATAATAGTACATAATCCCAGATTAGGTTAGTTTACAAGGTCATTAGGGTTCGTGGGGCGTGGAGGGGGTGGGGGTCACCTGCACCGGGAAATGTTCCACCGACAGCACCACAATCACGGGGTCCTTCGCTGTCAGTGCCGACAGCGAGTCGGCCACCGCAGCGGTGTCGACGGAGAGACGCGGCGGGCCCTTGGGCTCGGGGGAGTGCAACGGCAACGGTTCGGTTTCCAACGGCGTTGTCGTCGTCAGCGTCGCCGGCGACACTCCCGCCGACGTCAGTACGTCGAGGCGCGTGGTGGGCGGGGGGAGCAGCGCTTCCGTGAGAAGGGCCGCCGTCGGCGCGGGGAATACCGGCACCAGAGTGGAGGTGGAAGGGGCGGGGGCAGGGGCGGCGACAGCGGCATGGGCCCCGTGGTTGGGCAATAACTTGTAGGCGTACTGGATGAGGAACTCCACCACCAGTTGTGAAAGAGCGTATTCATCGGGGTCCATGTCGTGGTCGGGATGGGACAAAATCAGCGGCTGGAAAATGGCGGCCAAGTTGCGCAGGGACATGAGGTTTTCGCAGGAGTGGTTTTGCACCATCGCCAAGAGATCGAGGATGTAGAATAAAAGCTGCTTCAGCAAGTTCGGCAACTGCAGCACCAACTGCTTATATTCTTCGATGGCGCAATGGACGTCGCGGGTCAACTTGCGGTAGTTTTTGCCCTTGCGGGGCCGTTCCAGCGTCGGTGTCGTCACCAGCGGCCCCGCATTCTCAGCGTCGTCGCCGGCCAGATTAAATCGATCAACGTTGGCCTCGGTGAGCGGCGACACGTCGTCGGCGTCGTCCTGACTTCGTAACAGCTTATTGGGGTTTTCCGCTTTGAATTTCATGTAGTTGATGATGCGGGGGCGTTCGCGTAACGGGTCACGAAAGCTTTCGTACATGTCCAACGGAATTAATGGTTCGGGTAATGCATTGAGGTAGCGGCGCAATATCAGAGCGGCGTCGTGGACGGTGTAGCCGTCCCAAGAGAGCTTTTTGCCAAAGTCCGGCGGGCTATCGAAGATCTGCTGGAGTTCCTTTAGCCGTTTCAGCGACCCGCCGACGCGGAAAATGCCCTCGACGGTCAACCCTTTCTTTTTAAGGTAGACGCCGCACTTGGCGACGACGATGGGGATGCGGCCGTACAGCTGGGTGTCGTCGGCGGAGTCGCTAAAGATGGAGATTTTGGCCAGCGCCTGGTCGATGGCGACGTCTAGCGGCACGCCAAAGTACTTGGAGTTGGTGTCAATCAAGGGGTTATGCTGCAAAAACGAGTCGCGGTGCTGCCGTATGCTGGTCAGCGCCTCGCTCATGTTAGTGTTAGAGTTGGAGCGGCCGCGGGAGGCATTGGGGGCGTTGACGTTGGTCAGCGATCGCAGTTTATGGTGGAGCAACGGGCGCAAGAACTCGCTGGCGCGGGGCAGGAGCGGCAGGGTGGCGAAGTTGAACTCGCTGGTGCCCAGCGACTGGGGGATGGGGATCAGCTGCGACGGGCCCGTCGGCGCCTGGAGGGAGTCGGCCTTGGTGGGGGAATGGTCGGAAAAGTCGCCATCGCCCATGTCGTTGACCAGGTCGCTCAGCAACATGCTCCCGCGCTTGAGGGTCTTCACCCACCCGAATATCGAATTCCGGTTACTCGGGCTCGACAGATGGCTCATGGGGCAACGCCAAACACTGGGGGATACTCGGCCCGCAAACGATTCAGGCTCTCGAGGGAAGCGCGGTGTCTAGCCTGGGTGTCACTGAAAGGAAAAAAAAAGGTCGCTCGCTCGCCCACGTCTTCCGTCCGGCATATTCGACCCGCACCCGTAGTCCACAAACCCTTGCCGTGCACATCGGTAAGATCGATTACAAAAATAGGCCCTGCCTGCCCTGCCTGCCACCACCGCAAACCAACAGCAACGGTGACGGGGCTCGGGAATTTTACCCACCGCAGGAGGCGACGCGTCGCCACCCCTACGATAAGCTCCGTTGCGGTCACCCACCCGCCAGAGCCTAGCTATCTTAGTTTACTAGCTACTGTCTGCTCACTAGTGACGCGTCGACGCTGGTAGGATAATTCCAGTGACGCGGGACGGTGGGGGTCTGGTCTCACTCAGCGGCCGCGGCCGCTGCCTCTTTTGTTTATTTTTCCCTCGAGTGACGCCGCCTGCCCATTTCGGGGTAGAGTGCGTCGATCGGGCCCATCACCGCCAAACGGGCGAGTGTCCCTCCTCGCAACCTCCCCTGGCAACAAGATAATAACAACGTATCAGCCTCTCAACAAAGCCTATTGTTTAAAGCCACCTGGAGGTCGTCGCCCGCACTCAGGCGCCCCGAGCATGGTTGCCAGGGGGTTGAGGCAGCCACCGCTACTGAGGCAGCGTTTGCGTTGACGACCATGCACCTGTGGGTAAGGTTATGAGGGCCTGGCGAGCCCACCCAAGCCCCTAGGAATCCCCCGCCCGGCCACCATCGCATTTCAGCAACAAACACCGCTTGCGCCTACTGGCACCGACATAAGCATGATGCCGTCGCCGCTGGTGTTTTCTTGGGCTCACGCTCCGGGGCTGTCATCGCCACCTACTGACACCTGTGATTATCGTTAAAAGCATATGTCGCGGTTTGTGCGATCGTATTCCCTACTGCGTAATCGCCTGAGCGCTAATCTCTTTCTCTACTTTTCATCCCTTGCCACCGCTTCCTTGGAGAACGGCTACACTTACCCCCACATCAAAAACGCCCTAAAAATCAGAGTTACCTCAAAAATAGAGCTGCTAGCGTTGTTGACGTGGGCACAAGGTTTTTGACCTGCACACAGCCCCGGTTTAAGGTGGTGGGTGTCATTGCCACAGCCTCGTGAGTATCCTGCCGCGTTGACCCTTGCTAACCCCCAATTGGATCATTGGACTTCGTAGTGGGGATCTTACCCGGCTCCTACCGTTTCTGCCACCTAATTTTAGCCATCAACGGGCTCATCACCGCCTTCCAAGGGGCTGTGGTTCGTATCTTGGTGGCTGACGATTGCCACCCATCACTCTCTGCACTTTCTTTTCTCAAGGGAATGCGGTCTACATATTGTTTCAGCCTTGATTCCTTGGCTAAAAATGACCGTCATCCCACTTTGTGGTCCATGGTGGCGATGCCGCCAGATTTTACTTTACTAAGGCTTGAGAGGTAACCATGTTGCAGCACCAGCCTAAGTCGCACCGAAAAATTCGAAGCGGTCTCCCACGCAAACCCTCATGGCGGACGACTTGTTTGGTGACGATGAAGAGGTAGCCCTCTCTCCCGAACAATCTCCCGTTTCGCCTGCGTTACCCCCTGACAGCGATAACGATGACGACGACTCCAGCGATGCCCAGCCGCTTAAGGAGATCGACACCCTGTTACCGCGGCACGCCTTCACCGACTACTTCGACGCTAAGACTTATTCGCTCAAAGTGCCGAAATTTTTAAATGTGGACGCTCGTCCGTTTGATCCTAACGATTTTAAAGCCGAAGTGGAAAAGATCGAAGAACACATTCGCAAGTCGAATGATCTGGAGAAGCTCATCCAGGCCGAGCTCCTCTCGCAAAAATTGGTCAACGCCAACACCATTCGCTGGCGATACAGTTCGGGCGCGGGCCAGGACGTTATCAAGCAGAGTAACGCCCACTTTGTCGAGTGGGACGACGGCTCCATCAGTCTTAAAATCGGCAGTGAGTTGTTTGACTTTAAGCCGGCAGTGGTCACCGACTCGTGGCTCGTGAAGCTGCATGATGACTACGACATGCTTCAAACTGATGCCATCATTGGCGAACTGGTCAACTTGTTGCCGGTGTCGACGCAGACCAAAACCCATCAAATGTTGACGAAGACGGTGTCGGGGCAGCGGGTAAAGGGCAAGATTCTCAGTACCATCACTAAGGACGACCCCTTGGCCAAGCAACGTATTGCTGACGAAATGGAAAAGAAGTCGCTTAAGCTCAAACGGCAAATGGAAAACAAGCGTCGCGCCCAAGAAGACCGCGAGGGCCGGTCGGGGTCGCCCCTGTTACACGAGCCGCTGTATTCTCGTTTTAACCGTAACTATGCTGGTGAGGATTACGATGAAGAAGACGACTTTGTCGCTGCTGATGATGATGAAATTGAGGAGGAAGAGGAAGAGGAAGAAGAAGAAGAGTTCGACTCGGACGAAGAACGGCGCCGTGCCGACCGGTTGAAGAAGGTGAAGGAAGATGGCAAAGAACAGTATAAGGAAGAGTCCAACCGCAAACGACGGAGAATCATCGACTCTGACGACGACGAAGAGTAATAAGATTTTCAGTCTTACAAAGAAACCTTGTATAATTAACGCGCTTTTAATTTTTGAAGTTTCCCCAGGCGATGACGTAATTTGTAGTATTCGGTCGTTCTCCAAAAGTAATCGAAAATGCGACTTTGAGTGGAGAGATACCCCAATACCATGTCCCTCATTCGCCCGCTCCGTCTCCTTTTGTTGGGCGCCCCCGGTCTGGGGAAAGGTACCCAGACGCTGAGACTTCTTAAGGAGTTCCCCACCATCAACGCGGTGTCGCTGGGAGACATTTTGCGGTCTGAAATCGCTAAGGGCAGTGGTATTGGTAAAGAAGCTGAAGGCTATATCAAGGAAGGGACGCTTGTTCCCGATCTGGTAATGGTGAAGTTGATTACGGGCCATCTTATGAATCCCAAATGGCCCGGTCTGGGAGAGAAGGCATCGTTTTTGCTCGATGGGTTCCCCCGCACGGTGCCTCAAGCGTCGCAATTGGACCAGGTCTTAGATAGCCACAATCGCGAGCTAAACATGGTGGTGGAGCTCGATGTCGACCAACGAGTGATTTTGGACCGTATCGAAGCCCGCTGGGTGCATGTGCCACTGGGTCGTGTATACAACTTGGACTATAATCCGCCAAAGAAACCTTACACTGACGACGTTACTGGCGAACCGTTGACTAAACGGGCTGACGATACCGCCGAAGTGTTTGGCAAACGGTTGGATACTTACAACCGGGAATTGGCTCCGTTGAAGCAATACTACCAAAAGCGCGGCGTCCTCCACACGGTGCTGGGCAACACCTCCGACATTATCTACCCAAAGTTGTCCCAGTTGATCAAGGACAACTTCTGTAAATGAGATGAGGTATTCATAAAAAGAATGTATCAGTATGTATATATACATAGGTAAATGATAAGACCGGTCAACAGTCATTCACCAGTATACGTGTGCCAGTTCTTGGTGATGTCGCGACCCTTGATCTGTCGAGGAGCCGTGCGGGCAGCGGTATCGGTAGGCAGCCGTTCAATGGACCCGATGGCACCGTACTTGCGACGAGCGGACGCCCACCGCCGTGGGTTTTGTTCTTCCTCGCGGAAAATGTCAATATCGGTTTCGTAGCCTCTCTCGTGGAGTCCCGTGAGATCGTCGGCGTTATCCAGTAAGATCTTAATGAAACTGGGACGTCGGTCAGCAAATGGGTCCTCAACATCACCCAAAAGCGGCAGACGCTCGCCCTTCTTCTTGGAGCACATGCCGAATATCGTCACCAATAATGCCAATAATGCCACAAGCAATAATCCACAAATGATCCCGATACCAACCAGCACCCACCCTAAATGGATATGAAGGAACGGCAGATCGGGATTGATCCATTTGAGGTTAAGCGGCTTGTCCAACACAAACACGCAGGGACCCAGATAGGGCAGATTAGGGTGTTCACATCCGTACAGCACCACTTCCACTTGATGGTCCTTATTATAGCCAGCAGCTTCGATTTTGTCGGTGTTGACGTATTGCAAATATGTCTTGGATCCCTGGTGACGACAGATCAATCCAGCCTTTTCATCAGTGAGATTAGTAGCAATCACTTTCGATGAATTATAAGGACAGCCACTGACACAATCAAGGAGATTGGCAAGTTCATTTTCGGGGACCAAGTGGAAGTTGAAAAGATTGGTAAGCTTATCAAAGCTGGAGGTGATGTTGAAATCTTTTAAACTTTCTTGCGATGGCACAAGGAGCGAGAACTTGGGTTTCTCTCCTCGAAGACCAAGTGCCTTCTCTAGACCGGGCACTAACTTGATTAATTCCAAGACGTTGGGAGCATGAGCATCGGTGATGGTGGTATTGATCAACTGCTTCAACGGAATATTCAAGTGGTCAGGAAGGATGACGTCAGGCACCAAGTGGATCACACCTTGGTTGAACAATACATCGGAGTCTGGAGGTACAAAAACACTGGTCTCATTAATGGTAAGATATGATGTCAGCTGAAGAGGACGATCAACGAACACGTGCTCGCCATTCAAAAGCTTGAATTTAGTGGGTGATTTCGGTGAGAAGTCGGAGTAAATTGGCGATTTCACAAAGAGACCCTGAAGCACACTATTCATCCAGTGAGGGTGATCTTCAAGAAAATCATACACAAGACCCATAGTATTCCAATTGGTGTGGGGCTTGCATTGAGCTGAGATCGAGGCATCGACTTGGGCACAGGGAAGGAACGCAGAATAGCCGCCATCGTCATCAAAGTCAAATAGTTTATGCGCTAGAAGCAACTCCAACGTCTTCAAACAGTTTTTCTTATCAAGGATGATATCACGAGTACGCCCGGCACTCATGATTTCTCCCATCACTCGTTTAAGCGATGATGGAAGTACCACTTCGCTATCAACCACGTATATCTCTGATTTGCCAGCATCAAAAGGTCCTTCAATGACGTTGATCGCATCGTTAAGCGTGATGATATCGCCATCTTCATCAGTTGTCAACTTATGCTTAAAGCAACCACTGACTCGCTTATTAGAGCACATGAGCGAATCCACAAGCCCATGATTGGCTTTCTTTTCACTAAACTGATAAAGAAGTTGTTGCTTAGAGCTGAACTTGCGAATCATCATTTCATCGTCGCCAAAGTCGTCACGATCAGTGACATCAACAAATAATCGATAATTTGACTTCTTTTCTTTGAGCAAGTGTCCAAGTTTGCGGAATTTGAGCTCTTCCACGAATTTCGAGTAGTGAAGCGAAAAGAGCACCTTTTCAAGCGTCATCGATGCCACATTGACATCGAGTGCTTTAATGGAAGTAGGGGTATCAAAAACGTGCACCGCCGCATCCGCGAGAACGACACTGACCACCAGGGCCGCACCATTGATTTCGACGTGTGTGGCATTATGCTTAACTTTGTGGCCGTTAAATTTGGAGTCGGTACCATTGGGACCAATGATGTATCGCAGCAGACTAATGCTATCCAAAAATTTGGCAATATCTTTAGCCATGGTGGCCTGAGCATCTTCAGTCAATTCAATCTCCTTAACTTGCTGAGCTCGGTAAAGCCCGGTATAGTATATCCGTTCTGTTTGGGAGAGGCCACCATAGATGGCAGTATCTGACGGTAAGAACACTGTCCGACGGTGCTTGAAAAACTTGGCACAATAATTAGGTTCGCGTTGTTCCATGGACTGGAATAGCTGCTTAATAAAGCTAACCGCTGAACCATTGATGCTATCAGAGGCATCATTTAAAAGCACCCGACACGCCGTTGGTTTCTCTGGGAGTAATCTCATAATTCCTTGGATAAACAGTTTCTGGTGTTTAGCGTAAATGTCCTCTTCCACAATGGGGGCCACATAGTCCACCACATACTCCATCAGCTCAAAGTCAGGCACGATCTCGATGGTATAATTTGACCCGTCAGGGTTTTGGTATGCGGTTTCAAAAATCACCGGTTCCTTTGGCATCCACCCGACTCGCATCCGCTGGTAGAGAATGTACTTGTAAAGCTCTTCAACTTCGCCTTCATCGACAAACGCAGCGTTAACGGGAGCAAACAACGTGATGTTCTCCATCAAGTTGATTTCGGGGACCAACCCTTTCCTCTGGATAAGTCGTAGAAACTTGGAGTACTGTGGCTGGGACGAGAGGATATCGATAATGGACGACGGCGACGGCGCCGGCTGCCGGGAGCTGGTCTTGGTTGCCGCCGCTGCCACCATCGCTAGCGCGAGGTGGAACACCATCAACAACCCTAGCACCATTTATTTGCAAATGTAAGGATACCGACGGCAGAGGCGGGAGGGGAGGGGGGCTAACGATGGATGCTGCTGCGGTCGCACGGGCCAAGGGTGGGTGGGTGGCTCGCTCCACAAAACCGCACCCACACGTGCCAGCTTCCCCAGTGCGGGTGTGGCTAGTGAACAGGCTAAGTGGTACAGCGTGAGAAACTTGATAGTTGCGTCGTACCAGAAGAACACAACGACAATTAAGACTACTTATCGATAAAAACATTCTTGATACTATTAGGATTTAGCTTATGGTGGTAGTCGCGTCAATTACGAGACTGTGATGGCGATGGCTTAGCGGCTAAGGTGTGTGAGGGGTCAAATTGCTAGCCATCACTTACATCAGATATTGTCAGGTATACACTTTCTGGCATTGGCGGGATTATGTCGGATGCATATGTCCTGTCAGTTTTGACGTATGTCATGTCCAATCGTCTGCTCTATATTATGCTTTACGCGATTCTGTGCGCACCATAGTGATGGCCATAACATGGCGCCTCGACGACATCTACACGGGTCTCTGGGTGCTTCACGGGTCAATTTGGGGGGTGCTAGCACGTAAGGGGCTAATAGCTCTTACGTCGTTCAGTCTGGCCTATCTTGGCGGCGTGGTGTGGGCGAATTTTGCCGCGTGTGTGGTGATGGGATGCCTCCAAGCCAGTACCAAAATATGGACTCAAGTGGGTCATCCTAACCCGATATTTATCGGGCTTACTACTGGGTTCTGTGGGACGCTATCGCTGTTCTCGTCAGTGATTGTGGAGCTGGTGACCCTCGCCATTAACATTGACCATGTCTCGGTGCCTGCCCCTGGCTATGGGACAATGCAAGTGTTTGACGTGATTATCGGTCAATTTGCCATCAGCTACGTTGGTTTGCTATTAGGTGGACACCTTGGTGAGTGGCTTGAGCAAACGGTACCGAAATTTGACCGGGGATATCGGTTTATGGTGGTGATTGGGGCCGCTATCGGCGTTGGTTTAATAATTGCCGATGCCATCATCATCGGCACCGTTGCTCTGTCACGGGAGTGGACGTTTAGTGTCCTTTTCGCTCCATTAGGGGCCTTAATTCGGTGGCAACTCCTGAAACTTAACAATGCGCAATGGTTTTACGGGACGTATATTGCTAATGTTGTGGGTACGGTGCTGCTCCTGGTGTTTTCCTTATTACAATTTGGGTTAACCACTCACCGTACCCCGCTTGTAACGAACTATACTGCTCGTCAGGTACTTGTGGGTCTTGACGATGGGTTTTGCGGGGGGCTCACCACGGTAAGTACATTTGTTGTTGAGCTTAAGAAATCCAGTCGGGGTAAAGCCTATGTGTATATCATTGCTTCAGTATTACCCAGTTTCATTATGGTACTTCTTGTCCTTGGTTCTTACCACTGGACGAAGGGGCTCGCCAGATGAATTCCTGCGGTAGCCAAACTGAGGGTCGCGGAATTGTCCGAAAAGAATACAGCTCTCAAAATTAGGAGAGCCGTTTGTGATGAGAAAGGGAGCGATGCCCCGACTATTTCGGGATTTAATCTTGAGGGGACAGCGCCCATAACCGGCGCATCAATCAATGCGAAAAACCACTACTACTAGAGACCTCGGTCTCCGAGCGGCAACGCCACCATTCGACCGAGGCCACCAGCGAAAATTGCGTCCACAAAATTACTATCGCGATGGCTACTTAATGCACTCAAATGCGTCATTCGTCGGTGACATCGGCACGATTTTTGTGGTTTACTGTAATTGAGCGTCACTGAGCCGTTATGGTAGACAGGTTTTCCCAGTCAATTTTGCTCCTCTCCCCAAACTTCTCCACCTTTCCCATCGGAAGAGGTAACCGGCTTATCGGCCCCGTGCTATCGCTATCTTTAGTGGCTAATATAATTCAGTGTGGGTAAATCAGGCCCGGGCTGCCTAACCGTGTGGGGTACGACATCCGCTAACACCCACCGCGCCCCGCACATTTCGACGCTCCGGTTATAAATACCAGACACACTCCGTTCGTGCCCGCCCGCGACAGTACATCATTCCCAAATGGCTCTCCCATCGCTCGCTGGAAAGCAGAACTACGCTGCCGATGACTCCCCTTACGTGTTGACCAATCCCAACAACGTCCCCTTGGAAAAGTTGTTTGCCGACAATTTCCCCCTCCCCGAAAAGTGGCAAGACGTGTCGATTCCCGTGCCTGGTACTGCCAAGCCCGGCTACTCGCCCGTGTTCCGCAATAAGGCGTTCCCCAACGGCTTGAAGGAAGGGGTGTTGCCTGAAATTGCCACCTACCACGACATCTTTGAAGTGGCGGTGAAGTCGTACCAAAACGAGCCCGCCATCGCCAAGCGCGCCTACGACCCCGTTACCAAGGTCAATGGCGACTACCACGCCAAGACCTACGCCGAAATCAACAAGGAAAAGAATGACTTGGGCTCGGGGGTGTTGTTTTTGTTGAAAAACAATCCGTACCTCGACGCCCTGCGGTTTGCCAGTCACCAAAAGATCCTCGACCACGAAAAGATCTACCGCCTGTTTAACCAAGATAACATTTCGTTTGTGCTTACGCTTTACGCCCCCAACTGTGAAGAATGGGTCGTCACCGACTTGATGTGTCTGTCGTTCTCGATCACCAACACCGCGTTGTACGACACTTTGGGGCCCGAAACCTCCGAGTACATTTTGCTGACCACGGAAAGTCCCGTGGTGATCGCGCTGAAGCAACACATCCCCCACTTGATCAAGTTTAAGCAAACTAACCCCGAATTGGGCAACTTGATTTCCATCATCTCCATTGAACCGTTAGGCGAATACGACCAGCCGTTGGTACAATCGGCTCACGCGCAAAACATTACTCTTTTTGACTATCAACAAGTGCAAAAGTTTGGTGAGATTGCTGGCAATCAACCCTGTCCCCCGTCTCCCGACACTTTATACACCATCTCCTTCACCTCCGGTACCACCGGCGCCAACCCTAAGGGGGTGTTGTTGACTCAAAGAATCGCCATGTCGGGGATCGTGTTTGGCTTGTGCCACTTGCCGGTGCAAACCCGGATGAAGTCGTTCTGCTTTTTGCCTCTCGCCCACATCTTTGAGAGACAAACTACTGCTTGTAGTCTCTCTCGGGGCTGCTGCATTGGTATGCCTCAATACGGCGGTTCTCCTCTTACCCTTGTTGAGGACTTGAAGCTTTGGAAGCCTAACTACATGTCTAACGTGCCTCGTGTCTACACCAAGTTCGAAGCGGCGCTTAAGTCGGCCACCATCGACAACCCTTCGGCGTTTAAGCAGAAGGTGTTTGGCCACGTCATCGAGTCCAAGGAAAACGCTCAGGCTCAACACGACGGTGCTACCGGGGCTAACTTCTTGTACGACCACTTGTTCATCTCTAAGTTGAGAGCGGCGCTTGGGTTCGACAACATGAACTTCGTCATCACCGGTTCAGCCCCCATCTCGCCGTCGACGATGAAGTTCCTCAAGGCGGCGCTTGCCTGTGGTTTCGCTCAAGGGTACGGTCTTACCGAGTCCTTTGCTGGGTTTGCGTTGTCGCCTCAATGGCAAGCGGTGCCCGGTTCGCTGGGTCCCACCGCTGTCACTGTGGAAATGAGAGTGAGAGAACTCCCTGAAATGGGTCACTTCTTGCAAAACGATGACGGCCTGCTTCGCGGTGAATTGCAATTGAGAGGCCCGCAAATTTTCAACACTTACTACAAGAACCCCGAGGAAACTGCCAAGGCGGTGGACGAAGAAGGCTGGTTCTCCACTGGTGACGTGGCTAAAATCGACAAGGATGGCAGATTGCACATCATCGACAGAGTGAAGAACTTCTTCAAGTTGGCTCAAGGTGAATACGTCACCCCGGAAAAGGTCGAAAACATCTACTTGTCGAACAACTCTATTCTTACTCAAGCCTACGCCCACGGCGACTCCTTGCGTAATTTCTTGATTGGGGTCATTGGTGTCACTAAGGAGGGTATCACCGATTTCTTGTTGGCTCAAGGGGTCAACCCTGGCGACTTGAAGTCGGACGCCGATATCTTGTTGGTGGCCAACAAGCCGGAACACCGCAAGACGTTGTTGGCGCATTTGAACAAGAACGTTGATGGCAAATTGCAAGGGTTCGAAAAATTCCACAACCTTGAAATCCAATTTGAACCGTTGACGTTGGAAAGAGGGTTGATCACCCCCACGGTGAAGTTGAAGAGACCTGCGTGTAAGGCGTTTTTCAAGGAAGTGTTGGACCAACGCTACGATGAGGGTTCGTTGATTAGAGGTAACAAGTTGTAGATTTTTCTTTATATGTAATACAATAGTTTTAAGCACGACGATTTTAACCTAGCATATACCACGGCATGATTCCTGCATCGTAGATCCAATTTTTCGGATCAGCATGGAATTCTTTTTTTTTCTTGCGGCAACATCACGTGACACTCACGGTCCGCATCGCTTCGGGGGCGCAAAAAAACATTCCACTCAAATTTTTAATACACCAGACTGCTAGTATGGCTACCCAAGAAGTTCCTTCGTTCAAGCTTGTTTTGTGCGGTGACGGTGGTACCGGTAAGACCGTAAGTATACATTTACCCAATGGCATCTATCATGACCTCATACTAACCCCCTAGACCTACGTCAAGAGACACTTGACTGGTGAATTCGAAAAGAAGTACATCGCCACCTTGGGTGTCGAAGTGCACCCTCTCGGCTTCGACACCAACTTCGGTAAGATCAACTTCGATGTGTGGGACACTGCCGGTCAAGAAAAGTTCGGTGGTTTGAGAGACGGTTACTACATCAACGGTCAATGTGGTATCATCATGTTCGACGTCACCTCGAGAATCACCTACAAGAACGTGCCCAATTGGTACAGAGACTTGGTGAGAGTGTGTGAAAACATCCCCATCGTGTTGTGCGGTAACAAGGTCGACGTCAAGGAAAGAAAGGTCAAGCCCAAGACCATCACCTTCCACAGAAAGAAGAACTTGCAATACTACGACATCTCGGCCAAGTCGAACTACCAGTTCGAAAAGCCCTTCTTGTGGTTGGCGAGAAAGTTGTCGGGTAACCCTTCGTTGGAATTCATCGAAGCCCCCGCCTTGGCTCCTCCCGAAGTCCAAGTCGACGCCGACTTGATGGAGCAATACCAAAAGGACATGGACCAAGCCGCCAACTTGCCCTTGCCCGATGATGATGACGATTTGTAAGCTAATTGTGCCCTCGATGGTCCGGCACGGAATATATAGTGAATCTTTACAGTATGTAGTTTGAAAGTACGAGCCCCCATTACTGTGGGTGCGTCATTGGTCAGTTTAGATTCCCTGCTCACAACGGTTAAATCCAGAGCAATGATTCGCACCGTGTTGTCAACAACAACCGCTGTGCCGGACGCTCACCTAAATGCAGCAACCCCAGCCGTGGCCGCCAAATGCGGTAATTAAGGCGATGGCGGCCTGACTCGACGGCTAGTAAACTTACTAGTCTAGCATAAATGTCAAGTCGTGCGTTGTTTATAGTTTCTGCTTGGGTGTATGGAGATTTTTTAATTTGATGGCGGGGCTCATGATTCCGTCAAATATTCTTCTGGTAACACGTAAATAAACAAAACCATAATTATCAATTCTAGAATCGCTTAATAAGTAAGTTTGATTAGATTAACGTAGGAAATGTATTGTGCTAAGTTAGAACCTATATTACATGCATTTTGATTACTCAGAATCGTCATCATCATCTAACGCCGCAAAGCGGTTCACATGAGTCGACTCCGACCGCTTCGACGACTCTCTAGTCATTTCGGGAGCCGGGGAGGCGGCGGGGGCGGCGGGGGCTTGACTGTTGGAGCGGGAGAACAGCGGCAGCTTCTTGAGGAAACTGCTTTGCGAGCTGTTGTTCCACAGCGAACCGGCGCGCGACGAGTTCAGGCGGCCACTGTCGTGGTGTCGGCGCTTCTTGTTGTCCAGTTGCTGCTTTTCTTCAAGCTTCTTGAGCTCGGCGTCCCGGTGGATCTCTTCGATGGTCTTGGGACCGGCATCGCCCGCCCGCATCAGCACCCACTTGGCCTTGCGCAAGTCTTGCAAGTCCATCAACATGAACTTGATTCTCAGCGACAACTCAACGTTGTCCAAGATCTTTTGGATGTTCTTAAACACCAATTGGAGGATGGGACGGGTGGATTCGTCGGCCTCCAACTTGGGACCAACCGTCTTGACCAATTGCACCAAGTTTTCCAACGAGTCTTCCGAAGGGTCGACGCAGTTCTTGCACTGGTCTCTCAAACAGAAGAAAATGACCTGGTCGTTAAGCATATTCAAGTTGTAAAGATGACCAATAAACTTGACGAGACCCAACCCTCTCCGCTTGGCGGCAGCCATGGCGTAGTATTCGTCCGACATCATTTCCGGTTCTAACGGCAGCCCGTCGTCGTTGGTGGGCAACTTGTCCACCCACCCCTTTTCGTATTCGGTTTGACAAGTGGTCAAAAGCAATCTACGAGCAAGAGCCCCGCCCGAGGGCACAGTGCCGTCCTTGAGCACCATGGTTTCATCGCTGACTTCGTCAGAAATGTTGGTGCACATCTTGGCACAGAATTTGGCGTACATTTCCGACCAGTAGGGTTCATCACACGCCTTGGCGAAAGTGTGTTGAATGACAGAACGAACGGTCTTGGAGTCCTTTTCGTGCTTGGATTGAGCGGCGATCTTGAGGATGTCGTCGGTGATGGGGTCGAACATTTCGAGGGTAAGCTTATTAAGGAGCGACTTCGTCTTACGATCGACATCTTCGGGACTGAGGAGCACGGTACCATCTTCGGCGACGAGCTGTTCTTCAGTCTTTTGACGACTCCGGGGCACCCATCTGGAGGCGGAGTTAGCCAAAGGCTTGATTTCTTCCTTAGGGATGGTGATTTGAGGGTTGTCTTCCTCCTTCTCCTTACCACGCTTCGATTGGTTACGACGAGAGCCCTTGTCTCTCGACGAGCCCTGGCCACGACGCTTGGAGCCCGAGCGCAGGTTTTGACGGGGTTCATTGAATTGAGAGCCCAGACGGAACAGTTGGTTGTCTCTGCGCATGCCCATGCCGAATTTAGAGTTTTGACGGTTTTGACGGGGACGAACCTCGACGGAAGCGTTGTCAAGGATCGCCTTGAATTCGGGGTCAACCCGAAATTGGACGACGTCCTTGAATTGGTACAAGAATTGCGGGTCGTAACGGAACTTCTTGCCTTCAAGCTTCTTCGACGGGTCGGCACCGGTGAACCCTTCAGGGTAGGTGACGGAATAGATATCTTCGATCATCTCGGCTTCGTTAACCTTAGCCAAGAATTGAGTGACGGTGAAGCTTTCATCTTCTTCTTCAGCCTTTTCTTCGGGGATCTCCTCGGTGGGTTCTTCAATCTTCACCTCCTTAGGTTCCGAAGGTTCCTTAGGTTCAGCGGATTCACCCGCGTCCTTAGGTTCAGCAGAAGGTTCTTCAGCGTCAGCGACTGGCTCAGCCAGAGGCTCGACGTTTTGCAGTTCCTTGGCTTCTTCTTCGGCGTTGGGTTCTTCGGCCTTGGGTTCTTCAGCCTTGGGTTCCTCAACCTTAGTTTCATCAGGAATAGTTTGTTCAACCTTGGGTTCTTCTTCAGCCTTAGCTTCCTCGGCCTTAGGTTCCACAGCCTTCGGTTCTTCCACGACGGCTTCAGCCTTGGGCTCTTCAACCTTAGCTTCTTCCACCTTGGGCTCCTCAGCCTTGGTTTCCTCCTTGGTTTCTTCCTTAGTCACTTCGGGCTTAGGTTCTTCCTTGGGTTCCGCCTTGGGTTCTTCTTGAGGTTGAGCAGGTTCGACCTTAGGCTCAGCCTTAGGTTCGACTTCCTTTTCCACCGGCTTGGGAGCTTCGGTCTTAGGCGCTTCGGTCTTAGGTTCCTTAGCTGCCTTGGCCGCCGCTGCCCGTTCAAGAATCTTCCGCTTGAACTCTTCCATCGCCGCCGACTTAGCCGACGAGTCCGACGCAGGCTTCGCTTCGGGAGTCGCCGCCTTTTGCACGGGAGCCGCCACGGGAGCGGCTACCGGTTCCGGAGCAGCCGCCACCGGCGGCTTTTGCGGCGCCAAGTTGGCCTTGATGGGAGCCGGCGATGACTTCGGGGTGGTAGCGGTGTGGTGAGCCGCTTGTTCCTTACGCATGCCCTCTAAGTCAACGGGCTTGCCATCCTTGGTGGTCAATTTGATCTTAGGCGACACCATCTGGGTGGCGATCTGGGGCGGCGACAACACGGGGGTGGTAGGGTTCGAGGCCAGCGCCGGCACCTGCGCCGGGGGGATCGGGGCAAGATGGGTATGGGTGGGAGACGATTGCATGGGCATGCCGTACTGAGGGGCGTTGGGCATCATCGGGTAGCCAGCGCCGGCGGCGGGGTAGTAAGGGTAGCTGTACATGGGGAAGCCGTAGTAGTTGGCGCCGGGAGCCTGCTGGGGAATCGCCTGTCCCTGCTGGTAGTGGTGGTTCTGGTTGCCATGCTTGTTGTAGGGCTTCTTCCCGTTCTGGTTGACGAACTTGTTGGCGCCCTGAGGTCTTTGCCCTTGAGGCTTGCGTCCCTGGTACGGTTGGCCCGAGTACGGGTACTTGCCGTGGGGTTGCTGCTGCTGACCTTGGAAGTGGTTGTGTCCGCCGGAGGCCCGGGGCACATTCAGGGAAGCAGGGGCGGCGGCAGCCACCCCCTCTTCCTTGGGGTGTTTATCAGACATGGACCGATAAAATCTAGTGGTAAAATTTTTCAGCTTCGAGGTTTTCTGATGCGCGCACACTGCCGGAGATTTTTGAGATGGCAGCAATAACTAAGGTGGGGATTTCGGGCTAAAACCGGGGCAGAGCCGAGTAGAGTAAGTGGAGAGTGGTTAGGTGGAGGCTAGTGGGGTGATTTAGTGGAAGAAACCCTAAATTTCCTTTTCAAGCTGGTCACTACAGGGGATATCGGTGAGTGCGATCAAATCACTAGGGTGCAACCTCGACGCACCCTCAACGAGGAAATAGCTATTTCCGATGAGGGCAAGGTGGGGTGACGGGGGCGTCAGACATTGACCTGTGAAGGGTGGCAAAAAGCAATTAATTAGCATTGTCGTTGTCGAAGCAAGTGGAAAAAATTTAGTCGGTGGCGTATCCCCTTTCAGGTCACCTCGAGTGACCGAACACGCGTTGCTCGGTTATCGTGATAAGGTTTTAAGTACCTAAAAAAGTGTGTGTATTGTGAGACACTACCCCCAGGGTAGCGCGCGAGTGCGAAAAAGTAATGAACGTGAAAGGATCACGAGCATAGTGAGAAATATGTGTGGATATGGGAGACAAAAGTTTCCTCCAGCGGTAAACCACGCGCCATAAGCACGCGCTATAAGCCGGGGTTGCGGGAAAGATAGACGCCGTAGCCAACAAGCCCGGCGACAATGGCGATGAACAGGTACACCACCGTCGCCTCCTTGGCGCTCTCCTTGCGGAAACACACCAAATTGAGCTTATCGGTCTCGTTTTTCGCCTGGTGGAACACCTCGTCATAGCAGAAGTCGGTGGTGCAATTAGCACACTGGACCACGGGGCGGATCTCGGCAACGTCGTTGAGCTCGCACCGACAGTATCGATTAGCTGCCACCAGGGCTAGAAGAGCCAACCACGCCACCAAGGGTAACAGTTTCATGGTAAATGTGGTAATCGTTTTGAGAGTGCTAGGGAAATTTCACGAAGTGGTCGCACTAACTACTACGAGGCCCGTACCAAATGCCCGCACGAACAATAGATTCAAAAACATTTTAATTTGTATATGTGGGGAAGTTTACATCATTATCTCCCCACTAAAACTAACTCCAAAATGAATACTAGTCACTGCTTATCCTTAGGCTTCTATCAACGTCCATGGAGTCTCGATGGGACAACATCTCCTGCACACAGTCGGGAGTGCGACCCGCCACCAAAAAGTGGCAACCACCGCCGCCAGTGAACCCTCGACAACCCATCATGGCCAGTGCTGACACGGCAGTAGTGTACGAAGGCGGGGTCCGCCCCTACTTTGAGCAGCAGATCCAGCAGACAGAGATCCAGATCCAGCAAACGGCCCAGAACCTCCGGCGGTTGGAAGCGCAACGCAACAAACTCAATAATAAGGTGAGACAGCTCAAGGATGAATTGCGGCTTTTACAAGAACCCGGCTCCTACGTGGGTGAAGTGGTCAAAGTCATGGGTACCAATAAAGTGCTCGTAAAGATCCACCCCGAAGGGAAGTACATTGTCAAGATCACTAAGGACATCGACATCAAGAAGTTGACTCCCCTGCTTCGCGTGTGCCTTAAGCTGGATTCCTACGACTTGCACAAGATTTTGCCCAACAAGATTGACCCGCTCGTGTCGCTCATGATGGTGGAAAAGGTGCCTGACTCTACCTACGATATGGTTGGTGGTTTAGATAAGCAGATCAAGGAGATCAAGGAAGTGATTGAGCTTCCTGTGAAGCACCCGGAATTGTTCGAATCTCTCGGGATTGCTCAACCTAAGGGTGTCATTCTCTACGGTCCTCCGGGGACGGGGAAGACGCTTTTGGCGCGTTCAGTGGCCCACCACACCGAGTGTAAGTTTATCCGGGTGCTGGGTTCGGAATTGGTGCAAAAGTATATTGGTGAAGGGTCGCGGATGGTGCGTGAGTTGTTCGTGATGGCTCGGGAACACGCTCCCTCGATTATCTTCATGGACGAAATCGATTCGATTGGGTCGCTGAGATCCGACGGCTCCAGCGGTGGCGACTCCGAAGTGCAAAGAACGATGTTGGAACTTCTCAACCAGCTCGACGGGTTTGAATCGCTGAAAGATATTAAGATTATTATGGCCACTAACCGGCTTGATATTTTGGACCCGGCGTTGCTTAGACCGGGGAGAATCGACCGTAAGATCGAGTTCCCGGCCCCCACGGTGGCGGCGCGTACCGACATTTTGAAGATCCACTCGAGACTGATGAACTTGACTCGGGGGATTGACCTCAAGAAGATCGCGGAAAAAATGAACGGCTGCTCTGGTGCTGACGTCAAGGGGGTGTGTACTGAAGCCGGGATGTACGCGTTGAGAGAACGCCGGATCCACGTTACTCAAGAAGACTTTGAGTTGGCCGTCGCCAAGGTGATGAACAAGAACGACGAAGGCGGGGTGTCGTTGCAAAAGCTCTTCAAGTGATACATATTAATGACGACAAGATAGAACATGAGATCATTGTAGAAGGTAAAGTCCAAGATTTATTGCCAGATCAAAATAGTTGTCTGAGAAACTTTGATGCGATCTAGTATAGGGCTGATCTGACACCTGAGACAGACGTCAAGGTTAAAATAAATGTAAATCCACTGAAAAGCTGTTGAAATTCAAAAATTAATAATGTATTAGCTGTTGGTTGTTTTTTGTCTTCGTTGGCATCTGCACTCGATGTCCCCTCCTGCATGTAACCGCAGCTCATCTCAATCAAGAGGCCATCGGCATATCCCCTCTAGTCATCGCGCCATGAATAACCCCGACGGCGACGACGATTACGTGTTGGAGAGCAAGCTCAACAAGATCCGGGTCCACCGGACACTGGGGCTTGCCAATCAGAAACAGTTGGCGCTCATTTTGGACGCCGTCGACGAGAACATCGACGAGCAGAAAGGCGACAAAAACGCCGTGGGGTACTTCGTCAGCTTCTTGCTGGTGTTGGGCCAAGCCGTCGACGATGAACGCATTGTTGACCAGCTGTTAGCAGCGCTGGCGGCCTACTTTTTGGACTTAGTGTTGCCCCACACTCCTCCTACTTTGCTTAAAGCCAAGTTCCAAGAGATCCTTATTAAGTTGGCCCCGGCTCTTTCCAACCCTGATGCCGAAGCTCCCTTAGTGAGACTGGTCCTCGGTGCGTTGGAATCTTTACTTTTAGCTCAAGACCACAAGCAGTGGACGGCGACGCTGGCACTGACGCTGCCGAAGCGTGCCTTGGTTGGTCTCTTGGAAATGCTGTTTGACCCGCGTCCCAAAGTGCGTAAGCGGGCCCAGGAAGCAGTGCACAAAGTGCTTACCAACCCGCCGCCGCTGCCGCTGCCAGTACACGTGGCTGCCCCCGTGGCCTGTGACATTGCCCTTACTAAGTTAGCGCAATTATTGGCGGAAACTAAGAACCATAAGGGTGGTCTGAAAGAGCTCAACGCTCAGCTTATCCACTGTCTCCAGCTCATTGCCAGCATTACTGGCGCCAACGCGTGGCCGCTGACAAAAGTGCCTGAGCTTTGCGATGTGCTCTTAGAGATCCTGAAGACGCTGGACCAATACCTTGTGCTGGCGGCATTCTCGGCTTTTGAAGGGTTATTCCAACTGATGACCTCTGACGTCGATGTTGATAAGTTGACGACTCTGTTAGACGTCATCTTTGACCTCAAACCTCAAGTGAACGACTACCACTTGGCGGCGCTGTGGTTGGCCGTCGTGGCTAAGGCGTTGCAGTCTTACGCTCAGTTAGCTCCCGAACAGTGTGTGGCTAAGCTCCCCAAATTGTTACCGGTGGTGTCGAAGTTCTTGGAGGCCGACCGGGCTGATGTCTACACGCTGGCGGCTCAATGTATGATTGCCATCATTACTCAGACGATCCCCGACGCTTGGTTATTGGAACCGATGACTGAGCTCACTGAAGAGACCATCACTTTCATTGCTGAACACCTCCACCTGCTCTTAGACGTGCGCTACCAACACGCGTTCAAGGATGTGCTTGAAGTGGTCACCGCTACTCTTTTGAAGCTTAGAATGCGGGCTAACCCTGACTTCTTGGATATTGTTGAAGTGGTGGGTCTGTGGAGAACTAACGAAGCCGAAGACTTCCCCTATAATAAGGAAGCTGAAGACGTCATTGCCGCTGCCATCAGCCAGATTGGTCCTCAAGCCGTTCTCTCGGTTCTCCCCTTGAACTTGACCGGCAACGCTAAGGGCCCGGGGAGAGCGTGGATGTTGCCTATCCTCAGAGACAATGTGCGTGCCGCTGACTTGGGCTTCTACATTAAGGATATCATGCCCGTGGTGCCGTTCTTCGAAGAAAAAGCTCAACAATCGCAAAAGCACGCTCAAATCTTTAAGACCATCATCGACCAAGTGTGGTCGCTTTTACCCCACTTTTGCGACTTGCCCATGGACTTGCAATCACTGTTCACCGCCGATTTCGCCCTGAGCCTCGCCGAGACGATGTACGCTAAGGTGGACTTGAGAGTGTTCATTTGCCACGCTCTCCGGATGCTTGTTGAACTGAACCGGGCTTATGCTGACGGTGCCTTAGCTGATGACCCCTTGATGTTGCAACAGTTCCCTCAAGCCGAAGCTGAGGCTAACGTTACTTACTTGGCGCAAATGGCGCTGAACTTGTTGCTGGTGTTGTTCAATGTGTTCGCTCTGACTGCCCCTGAAGCCCGTGGGTTTGTTCTCGAAACTATTGACGCCTACTTAGCTATCATCCCCAAGCAAGAACTCGAACTGACTTTCGACACCGTGTGTGGTATGCTCAAGCAAGCGATGGACGACAACGACGAAAAATTGGCGCTCACGATGATGGACTTGGTGGTGGCGCTGGCACGGTACGTGCCCCTGCTGAGCCACGGGGCGTTGTTTGCCATCTTCACCTCCACCGTCAATTTGCCGGCGGCGCCGATGCAGAAGCGGGCCAACCGTATTTTGACCAAGCTCGGCGAGACCGATGACGGCAAGCAGGCGATCTTGCTGTTCATCGGCGACATCGAACGGGTGCTTGTCGAGCTGCAAGCGCAAGCGCAAGCGGCGTCGCGGGCGGCTCGGTTGGCAGCGGTGCTGGTGGTGGTGCAATTGCTTCCCGCCACTGAGCTCTGGTTCATCCCGGCGATGTTGCAAGAGGTGATTATGAGCACTAAGGACGTCAACGAAAAGAGTAGAGAGTTGGCGTTCCTGATCCTCGTGGCCATGGCTCGCAAGTGTGAAGAGTTCAACGGGACTGAAATTGATAACACTAAGGTGTTGGGTGAAGGCGCTGAGCCCACTACTGCCTCTATCCAAGAATACTTGACGATGGTGAGTGCTGGTTTGGCGGCGCAAAACGCGCTGATGATCCTGGCCACCATCACCGCGTTGTCGTGCCTTGTGTTTGAATTCAAGGATGATTTGCCCACCGAGACGTTGGTGGAAATCTCGTCGACGATCGAATTGTTCTTGACTCACAACTCGCGGGAAATCGCCAAGCTGGCCATCGGCTTCGTTAAGGTGGAAGTGTTGTCGCTCCCTGAAGATATGGTGCGGGCCAACCTCCACGAGCTCTTGCTGAAGCTCATGAGATGGTCGCACGAACACAGCGGCCACTTCAAGCTGAAGGTTAAGCACATCATTGAAAGACTTATTCGTAAGTTTGGTGTGGAAGCTGTGGAACAGGCCATCCCCGAAGAAGACCGTAAACTTGTGGCTAACATCAAGAAGCTGAGAGCCCGGGCTAAGCGGAAGGAAGCTGCCGAAACCGAGGCCACCGCTGCTGGTACCAAGAAGTTCGTGTCGGCCTACGAAGAAGCGTTGTACGACTCCGAAGAACTGGAGGCTGAGGACGACGGCGAAGACGAAAACGACAAGCTCCGTCGTGGTACTAAATACATCATGGAAACCGGCGACGAGCCGTTGGATTTGTTGGACCGTCTGGCCATCGCGCAAATCTCGCTGTCCAAGCCTAAGCTGGCGAAGCGGGAAATCAAGGCCAAGACGAAGGAGTTTAAGAGCAAGAACGGGCGGTTGGTGTTCTCTGAGGAAACCGGTGCCGGTGGCGCTAGCGACCCGTTGGCGGCGCTGGGTCTGGGCATTGATGCCTACTTGGACGCTGTAAAGCAGGCGCCGGTAAGAGGGCAAAAGAACAAGCTCAAGTGGAAGAAGGGTGGCGACGAAGAAGTCGACTGGAACGATGACCCCGCTCCTAAGGTGGCGGCGAAGACCAAAACTAACAAGATTGGTAAGCCCCAACAGAAGAAGCAGAAGTTTAAGGCGAGAAAGAAGTTGTAACGCAGTTTGCATATTTAATCGAATACAATTAGGAAAAGAAGAAATATAATTGCTTGTAGAATGAAATTTTTAAACTTTCCTTTAGTGCCATTTCCGTTAATCACGAATGGCATGTAGTGCTTATGTCTTGTGCAAATATATTGTGAGAAATAAAGTCTAAATTTGATTGGTCAGTGATGAAAAAGCAAAACACAATTAAGAAGTTAAATACCATCCAGTATGATTTTCAAAACCGATATCACGATATGACGTTTTTGACAGTTTGCTGCAATGATTTTTTATTGTTTATTGCTGAATGAGCCCACCAAGTTACATGCAGTACCCCTTTATCTGCAGGAGGCAATCCTTGTTAACCACCGCATTTCTAACCCTCAACACTCGGCCTAAGATTAAACCCATTAGAGTAAATGGCTGCAAATTTTGACGTTTTGATCTTGCATTAACCACATATTCGCCAACGCAGCCCTGAAAGAGGTTTATAATTGGCTCTATAACTAAAATACGAGTCCAGTGACTTTTCGATAAAAATCTCCATTGAACGTAAATAATGCTAACATGATCAAATTGATGGCCTCAGTGCCAGTGCTGGCGCTACGGCGGTGGTTTTCTTCATCGAGCGCCGTCTGGGTGGTGGTTTTGTTGCCGGTGCGCACTCGATAATTTTTGTAAGCCCTGCCATGGCCCGAGCAAGATTGATCATGTCGGACGACGACGACGACTATCCCAGTGATGGCGGGGACCACCACGGAGCCGGCAACATTGATGCTGGCGACGATAACGGCACATTGGTGCCGGAAGCGCCCGCTGACGCCGAGGCGCCGTCGGCGCTGGATGTCGCGCCCAACCGAGACAGCGAGGACGAGATTAGTGATGATGACGACGCCCCACGTCTGCGCCGCCGCAACCGGCCCAAGCGCCTGCTAGTGGAGGAGGATCCGCTTGCTGAACTCGACGAATTTAAGGATGACCTAAGCGATGTCGACGCGCCGGCGCCTCCGCCCCGCAACCGCCTGCGCCGCAGTCATAACAGTGACGACGACGAGTTTATGGAGGATGAATTTGTCAGTGATGACGACGATTTCATGGACAAACTACAAGAAAAACGGTTTATCGCCAGTGATGACGATGGCGACTTTGGTTACCTGGCCAACACCCGCTCGCGCCGGCGAAAACGGCGGCGGCGCCCTGACGCTCCGCGGAAGCGCTTGACACGAGCCCTGGCGGTTGCCGGCGACGACGAAGACGAAAGCTATAGTGAGGGCGACACCGGTGTTGCCACTAAGGATGGCGGCGACGACATTCAACAAGAATTGGATGACCTCTACGACCTGCTGCCAATGGCGCTGCCCATCCGCCATAAACTTCGAGAACGTCAAGAGGTCAACTATACCATCCCGCCGCCCCTTCCTGCTAATGGCGATATCTCAGGGCTTGGCTACGCTGATGTTGGCGCTAAGCCGGCCCTGCTTCGTCGCGGTCGCCTGAATCGCAATGGCGAGTTCCGCAAGCTCTTATTCCCCACTGCCGGTCCCTTCGGTGGCTCCGATGTGGTGTCGCTTTTTGGCACCAATGTTCCTCCCGGCGGCATCCCCTTACCTGGGATGGCTGGCACCAATCAATTGATGGGCGACTCTGATAGTAGTGACGATGAGATCGTCGCTATCGACGGCACCAAGAGCGCCGGTGGCGCCCTTCTGGGGTCGGCACTTACCAAGCCAGTGGGCGCCGCCGGCGGCGCTGGCGCCCTCATCAGCGCTGGTGGCGGCGGCTCCGCTGTGGGTAAAGTGAAGAACAATTTGTCGGATACCGACCCCTTGGGCGTCGACATGAATATTGATTTCAGTGCCGTGGGTGGGCTTGACAATTACATCAACCAATTGAAGGAAATGGTGGCCCTCCCGTTGCTTTATCCCGAGTTATACCAGAACTTTGCCATTACTCCCCCGCGTGGGGTGTTATTCCATGGTCCCCCCGGTACGGGTAAGACTCTCATGGCCCGTGCGCTCGCGGCGCTGTGTTCGACTAACGAGCGTAAGATCACTTTCTACATGCGGAAGGGGGCTGACTGTTTGCTGAAATGGGTCGGTGAAGCCGAACGTCAGTTGCGGCTCTTATTTGAAGAGGCGAAGAAGAACCAGCCCGCCATTATCTTCTTTGATGAAATCGATGGGTTAGCTCCAGTGAGATCGCTGAAGCAAGAACAGATTCATGCCCTGATTGTGCTGACACTTTTAGCGTTGATGGACGGGATGGACAACCGGGGTCAAGTTATCGTCATTGGTGCCACTAACCGGCCCGATGCCATTGACCCTGCACTTAGACGTCCCGGGCGGTTTGATCGTGAATTCTACTTCCCTCTTCCCGACGTCAGTGCTCGTCAACAGATCTTACTGATCCACACTCGCCAGTGGCAACCTCCTTTGGCGCCTGAGTTTTTGGCTAAACTTGCTGAGCTTACTAAGGGCTATGGTGGTGCCGATTTGCGGGCATTGTGCACCGAAGCTGCGTTGAATCTGATTCAGCGGAAATACCCACAAATCTATCGTACCAACGATAAGCTCCAGGTGAACCCGAAACTGATCAAAGTGATCGCTCTGGATTTTATGAAAGCCCTCGATAAGATCGTGCCATCGCTGGCCCGGCTGACATCGCTGGGTCTGGCCCCGTTGCCACCACTGCTTCAACCATTGCTTAGTGAACCGCTAGAGACAATTAAGCATAAGTTGTTTCAACTTTTGCCTTCAGTTAAAGCTCTCGATAAGTCGTCGGCTAAACTTACGGCGTTGGATGAAGCAGAATATTGGGACCCTGCAGTAAACGATGCTGACGGTGGGTTTGCTCGTCATCAACACCTCAAAGTGCTTGAACGCCTGAGAGTGTGCAAGCCCCATCTTTTGGTTCAGGGACCTGCTGGTAACGGTCAACAATACTTGGGGGCGGCTATCCTCAATTACCTTGAAGGTTTCCAAATTCAACTGCTTGATGTTGGCTCGCTCTTAGGCGAGCTGAATCGCACCGTGGAAGCGGCGATCATTCAATGCTTTGTTGAAGCGCGGCGCCACCAGCCGCTGATCATTTTCATCCCTAATCTTGATCTTTGGGACCAAGTTGTGCCGCCATCGGCAGTGGTTACGTTAAAGGGGCTTTTACGGACACTTCTGGCCCACGAACCGGTGCTTGTTCTTGGTATTAGTGAAGATCTGAGTGGTGAAAGCGCCCTTGACCTGGTATTCGGCCATGGTAGTCCTGCTAACAATATGGTGCTTGCCCCTCCTCGGGAAGACCAGCGACAATACTTTTTCCGTGAGGTGGTGGGCGCTTTACGGATGAAGCCATTTGAGTTCATCAATGATGTCGCTAACCGGCCGCGCCGTAAACTTCGGAAGTTGCCGGTGGTCGCGGCGGCGGCGCCGGATAAACTGTCGGAACGCAAACGCCGCAAACAACAAGAATATCAAGACACCAAGCTTAAGAACGTGCTCAAGATCAGATTGGCGGGGCTTATGGACTTATTCAAGAATCGTTACAAGCGGTTCAAGAAGCCGGTGATTGACGATGCGTACTTAGTCCATTTGTTTGAGCCCATCCCTGAAAATCCCAACTTGCCTCCTTACGAAGTGCTTTACGTCAAGAGTGATGATCCCAACCATCCTGACATGATTAAGGAACTTAGCACTGGTAAGTACTATCACAACATGGATCTTGACATCATTGAGGAACGTCTTTGGAACGGGTTCTACCTGGAACCGCAACAATTCCTTAAGGACATCAAGATGATTGTGCGTGATGCGAAGAACCTGGGTGACCGTGAACGCAGCCTCAAGGCCGAGGAGATGTTGACCAACGCTCAATTTGCCATTGACGAGTTTGCCACTCCTGAATTCTTGGAAGAGTGTAAGCAGATGAGACAGCGTGAAATGAAGCGTCAACAAGAGCAGATTGAGGCTCACAAGGTGGCGATGGAAAAGGCTCAAGAAGAAGCGCAACGGGCTGAAGCTGAGGCGGCGGAAGCTGCAGCGCAAGCTGAAGCTCAAGCACAAGCTGAAGCTGCCACTACCGCTGAAAATGCCGGTTTATTGGAGTCGCCGTCGAAAATGCTGGTGCAAGATTTGGTCGCCTCAGAAGCGAGCAATGGCACGTATGCACCTTCAGTTGACTCACTGATACCACCTGTGTTTGATGCCGCCACTCACCCAGTATCCAATGGTACTACCGAATACATCAAACCTGAAGTTGATGCTAATGGCATGGACCTTGACACCGCCCCTCCTGCGAATGTTCCTCAGGAACATCAACATCAACAGCAACAGCAACAACAACAACAACTTTCAGCTGTTGATGGCATTGCTAACAGGGCACCCGCTGAACCTGTTGTTGACTCGACTATCTCCACAGTAGCGGTTGCGGGTGTTGGCTCTAGGGAAGACACTCCGGCCACCGTTATCAACGAAGCCGAGGAAGAAGAAGAGGAATCTGAAATTGAGGAGTTGGAGCTCCCTGACCGTCAACTCATCATTGACGAACAACGCACCCAGCGCCTCTTCACCGACCTCATTGCCGCCACTAATAATTACACTGTGGATCAGTTGGAGGCAACGATGGCTAAGCTCATGGACGTGGTGTGGTCTGACCGCGGTAACTGGGATAAACTGGGGACGATTGAGAACTTGGAGTCGATTGTAAAGACATTGAACGGTTAATGTAACAATATATTTTTCTGATTGATTCTGAAACGTAGGGAGTGTGTATAGTGGCGTGGTTTTAAAACATAGCTTTCGAGACGCGGCGCTTTAATAGTACTTCCTAGCATGGTAGATACACCCAATTCACCAACCGTCAACGACACTTTACCTTCGAGTCCCGTGGCTAAGCCTCGGATAACGCTTCCTCCTCTTAAACGACCTCTTCCCAAACTTATCTCCTCCTATGTCGCAAGTAGAGGTCTCCCTCGTCTGGTACCCCCAACGTTTCAGCGAGACGTATCTGATGACTGGGATAGTCTTCTGAGTGAGAGCTCCGACTTTGTTGTTGAGAACCCCATTTTAGATGAGCTACGCCTGAGTGAAGTTGATGTGTCTACGCTTGCCGTGGTATCCCCATTAAAGTACCTTACGTCGCCCCATTCTCGCTTTCTGGAGAAGGGATTACCGTTTGATTGGGAGTGCTACGAATTAGCTAAAGCAGCAGCAAAATTACTAGATGTATCCACTGAAGCCGACGAGAAATTGGTGGAGGAGGCACGTCTCAATCCTAACAAATTCTACAACCAGATGATTGCCCTCCCTAGAAGCTCGACGTCAAGAGAATTCTACAAGGTATGGCCACATATCGGTGGTCTTCAAGGCTCGCCTCGGCCGTTGGCATTCTGGGCAAGCATATGGCGGTATTATACAGCTGAATTTCTTCCTCGATATTTCAGTTTGCGCCAAGCGTGTATCCAGTTAGATATAGATCCAGTGGTGATATCTAACGACCACTCTTTTGCTGTAATCAATTCCCGGCAATTGAGCAAACTCAAAGGATGCTTTTGGTATGCCACCAACGCCACAGCTTGTGAACTAGCCGCAACTCGATTATTTAAACCCATATCTCCATCAGCGATATTTCGGGTGTTGACCTCATTAAGATCGGAGGCTGAAGCTAAAGGAGAGTTGTGTCCAGCATTTTCTCAATGCAAGTGCCCATTCAATCACAAAGCAGAGCTCGGTTGGGACCTCATATTCATCGGGAAAGGAAAGCTCAGTCAACATTTGACAAAGCACTACACATTTATTGCCAGAGATGATACAGTTGATGATGACGTCGAATGTAACGAGTGCCACCACTTATTCGCATCATTTGCAAGCTTTCTAGCTCATGCTCCCAACTGCACATTTGGTGAACCTTTGTCTGATGTTAAATTGCCAACGGAGCGTTCGACTTTAGCTAGAGCATTGTTTTGTCAATATCTCCAGGATGGTGGACGGGTGGCGCACATTATCCATGAGGAACTTCATAAGTTACATGACAGTCCGCCTAAAGTTGATCCTACTAACGAAATTTTGGAGGAAAATATTCAGTCCATGGCAAAAACGACTCTGCCAGGATGGTTGAGTCGAACCACATACCAGCTTCACTTGATGCACACTCCGATTGCGTATGAAGTATGGGCTGAAGCGGCACTTCTACTCCCTCCTAAAGTCGTTGTTCATTATCTATATCATCACCAACACCGTCTAAGTGGTGATGGCTAACGGTCTCCACCGATACCAGCTAAGTATGCCAATGACCATGTTCTCGACATCCCATTATCAATAAGGTGAGGTTTGAAATTGTCACCAGCAAAGAACGAGTAGGCAGCTCTAGCATCGTACCCACCATAATTCAACAAGCAAATACCCTTCCACCCATCGTCAACTCGGTCAATCACCGGCGCGAGCCATCTGTCCCATTCTTCCTTGATGTACTTGGAGCCACGCATGTAATTAGAGATTGGAGTGGTAGGTAACATGTGAATACCATGGATCCACTCATCGCCGACGGAACCGCGTCCAAAGAACGTCAGGTAATCGATCTTATTCTCAAAGTGGATACCCAGCACCATGTTGCCGATGAACTGTTGCGGCTCGACCTTGTTATCTAAAGAGTACAACATGTACTTGTTGATGGAACGGCGCATGATGGCAAGAATCAAATTGGCCCGGGCTTCCATCGCCTGATCGCCAATCACCTGAGCCCAGAGTTTCATACCAAAATAGCAGTGGTAGTCTTCCGAAGACAGTTCTTCGTTCTTACCGTCGCCACTGGGGAAAAGCCCATGAGCCCACGAGTGACCGTGGTACCAGTCAAACAGACGAAACTGCGGGAAGAACGCGTCCGCTTGCGGCAGTGCCACGTCTCTCAACAACGTCGTGGCGTACTCACGAACGTGGGGGTATTCGTTGAGGTAGTTGGGGTCTACTTTGGCCACAAGCGCAATGGCATGGATATGGTACCCGTAGTGGAAGTGGTGGTCGTTGTAGTTGGCATTACCGAAGTCAGCCGCGGGTTCTGCTGACGACACAATCCCCTTCCACATCGTATCGTAACGGAGCGGGAATTTCTGTTTGTTTTGAGCAAAGATATCGATAGCCTTTTTAAGTTTGTCAAGCACGGTAGCAGTCAATTGATCATCTTTCAACACAAACTTAGTCACCCAGGCAATGTGAGCATACTTATCGAGGATCTTACCCGAAGTGTACATGGAGTCGATGTTGGCCATCCCCACCACGTCTTCTTGCACTTCCAGAGAGGCTGCGGCTCTGATAAGGTCAAGCGCCTGTTGAGAGTACTGAGGCTGGCTTACCCGTTCCAGCCAGGGGTCAAACAGAATACCCCGAGGTAAGTCTTGTTCAGTGACCTTGATTTGATTAGCGACGAACGCCTTCATCACCCCCTTGACCGGCGAGTCTAATTGCATTTGAGCGTCGACCATATCGTTATTAGCCGCAAGCGTTTCGTACTGGTGAGGGAGCGTCCAAAGAAGAGTTTTACCCAGCGAGCTTTGGCCCAGCAATTGGTAAGATAAAGTATAAGTGGAATCATCCCCACCAAGCTGGACGTCAACTGGCCAGCAGCCAGCAGTATCGTCATAGGCCCGGCTTTCGCCACGAGCAATTTGGATGAACCCTTGATTAAATCCACCTTTAATCACATTGGGGTTCTCTAAGTTGAGTCTACCGCCACTGACGTACACTGACCACACCACCTCGTTGAACAACACCGCCTTATACTTGATCATATTGCCCACTTGGCCGACTTCGTCCCAGTGGTGTACTCCCACTTGCAGGTTAATTACCGGGGTGGCACCTTTGTAGATGGCAGTGACAAACCCCATCCCTTGAACAATAGGGAACTCCACCGTGCCTCCATTGACTTCAAAGCGAGTATTGGCAGAGAATTTGGAAATATTGGCAATTGACAAAGTGGCATTGGTGGCTAGACCCTCAGCGGAGAATACCCACAGTTTAATCTTAGGAGGGTTGAAAAAGTACTGGGCCGGGTTCTGCTGGGGGTCAGGTCCAAACACTCTCTGCTTAGCTTCAGTGTGGTTAAACGCCATCCCGGGAATCTGCTCGGGGTCTCTGGTGACCCATAACGAATAAGGGAGCGGCCACACGGGGAATGTCTGGTCGTCAAGCGCTAAATTCAGGGCGAAATTGTTCGTCTGAAGCGGGGCATCGTTGGGGCCGTGGCTACACCCTCTTGGAAGCACGGCGTGGTTAATTTTTGTGTAAATTTTAGGTGGTTCCCCCGTGGCAATTGGTGCCCCGAAAATACCAGCATCACCTCCAGAAGACGCCGGAGGCTTAAACGCCGGTGCCAGCGCTGACTTCAGTTGCGGTTTCAGCGACGATTGGGGTGGCAACGGCGCTGGCGGCCGGCTGTACGGTTGTTGCGGAGACTCCGGCTGGTGTTGTTGAGGGGCCTGTTGCTGCTGTTGCTGCTGCTGTTGCTGCTGAGGGGCTAGCGGCTGTTGCTTGTCGTTGTCATGATTGACATTGAGACGTTCAAACTTTTTGATGGCGTGTCTGATCAACCCCATGGTAATCTGGGTGGCTTATAGTTTGTGGTTGGTACAGGTCACAAGGGTTCCTGCAGGAAGGCCCCGGGCCGAGCGAATTCGGTAACCCCGGCACGTCACCCCAGCGGTTACAGAGCCCCTAACGAAGGCACCGATGACACTAAACGCGACACTAAACGCGACACGTCTACCCGCGGCTTGGCAACACTTGTCAAGTGTCACCGTTTACATGGAGATCCACCTCAAGCTTGTAAGTGGGGGAGGCAAATAACGACCGCGAAAAAGCACCTAGCCGCTAGCAGCAGCAGCAGGTAGTAGGCCGGTATGACGAGCCGACGCTGCATTCGACGAGAGAGGCACCCTCAGAGCCTTTACCTCGGAGCCGCCCTTGATGTGGCTGTAGCGGCTATACCAAATAGGAAACGAGATTACGAACGAGGATACGACGACCGTTGAGCCTGGGGCACTGGTGCCACCTGGAAGTCATATGCATTACATCACTGCTTACTGGCCAAGCCCTAAGCGGTGTATTAGTGTTATCGCCGGATGGGGGAGAGATGCCTTTAGCCGGTGGGGAGGGTGCCGCCGCGGGAATTACACCATTGGGTGACGGTAGTGGGTGCATATGCTAGATATGCGCGTGGCGACGGGTATCGGCACCAGCGCCGCGTAACCAAAGAATTATTCTATTACTATAGACCAGAGCTATGAGTTACGTCCACACGCCTTAAACAGTGGGAATTAATGCAGTAGTGGTCAAAAAAAAACGGGGAGAGGTTCACAGAGGTATAATTGCCGGTATCGGTTGCTTACAACACCAACATCAAACCAGCGGCCATAACACCGGCGGCGCCCAAGCCCAAGGCGTTAGCGGCGGCGGCGCTGTCGGGCTTCGAGCCGGAGCCGTTGGTGCCGTTGGTGCCGTTGACGGCGGTGCCGTTGACGGCTCTCTTTTCCAAGGGAGCGGCGGTGGCGCCAGCGTAGTGGGTGGTGGTGGTGACTCTCACGGTGTGGTCGAATCTGCCGTATCTGTGGGTCGACTTGGGCGAGTCTTCGTTGATGACGACGGTCAAGGTCGATTCGTGGGTGTTGGTCTTGTGCTTCTTGGCGGCGACGACGGCGGCGGTGGCGGCAACGGTGGCAACGGTGGTGAACTTCATGGTTGGAGAATGACAGAGCGCCCGTGGCGGCTGCAATCAGCGTTTTATAGGGCGATAAAAATTTTTGCGGCATTTGTATTTGTTTGTATGTACCAGTGGGTGTGGGTGCAGAAAATGGCTCATCCCCAGCAGCTGGCAGCGGATTTTTTCCCCCAGTGCCAAGAGGGCGGCGGCAAGCGAGATTGACGATCGTTTAATAATTGTTTGGTTTAATGGTGTAGGTGGTGTAGCCCCCTCCAATTAGTGGTGGATGGTGGCGGGGGTGAAGTCCCGGGTCTCAGCGCGAACATGCGCGCCTAGCGCCGGGTCTCTCACGTTTTCGGCCATAAATTTTTATCGTCGAAATTTTTTATATCACGCGGAGAGGGGAATGGACCAGCATGGCCACCAGCCAGCTAATTGGCTGCTGAAACCACTATAGACTACATTGGTAACGATAACATTCACTTGATTGTATACACTAAACAATATGGAGTTCTTCACACGGCTTTTTTTTGTGATGGTCTCGAGAGGTGTCAACCCGCCGGTTAGGCTCACGGATATAAGCGCGATGACTTAATTGTGAGGCACGCACTCATCGCAGGTGGAACGGCACCACAACGGCTACCGCCGGCAGGCGGCTGGCAGCTAATCGTAGATAGCGGGGCAGGCGGCAATGTCAAACAAACCAAAACTACAAATAAACCAAATGTTTTTCTTTAGAGATATATTAGAGATGCTATAACATGAAAACTCATAAGTCCACCACACCATAAGATTCCACCCCGAGATGAAGAGATGATCGCACCAACGCGATCGCGGCCGTCTAAAAGTCGTAGTTGCCTTCGTTTTGGTTTACCCCGAACCGGTAGCGGTCGTCGTAGGCGTCCGGCGCCGTCATTTCGTCGTCAACGGCGTCGTCTTCCTCGCCAAAGTACGTCTCGATGATGTTGAACGCCTTCTTGTAGATCAGAGCGTTTTGGTTCAGCTGGCACTCGAAGATCTTCTCCATGCCACCCGCTTCCTCAATGTAGATGGCGTTGGGGTTTTGCGAGAGCCCCTGCGCCTCCTTGTCCATCTCCCCCATCTTCAAGATGTTTTCCAAAGAGTCCAACGTCACCTCGATGATGCGGGCGTCGGCAATCGGCAACAAGTCGCAAAGAGGCTTGATGCACCCTTGTTGCACCAAGTAGCGGATCTGCTCGGGGCGAGCCAAACCCCCCAGCGAGGCGTTGGAGATCGCCCAGCACGCTTCCTTCTTGATCTTGTAGTCGCCGGTGGCCAACAACTTGATCACTTGCGGGATCAAGTTGGCGTTGATCACCGCCTGGATCTGGTCGGGGTTACCCGCGGTGATGTTGGAGATCGTCCAGCACGCCTCCTTGCGGATGCCGTCCTTGGAGTGGTACAACAACGGCGCCAACGCCGGCAACACCCCGGCGTTGATCACCGTCTGCGTCTGGTAGTCGTTACCGGTGACGATGTTGCCGATCGCCCGCAACGCCGGCGTCTGCACCAAGTGTTCGTCGTGGCCCAAAAGCTGGACTAACCGTTGAGGGATGCGGGCATCGACCACCGCCTGGATGGCGTCGATGGCGCTGTCCTCGGCGCTGCAGTCGGAGAGGTACGACACCGCCCAGCAGGCGTCAACAAGGGTCTCGGAGTCGGTCGAGTACACCAACTTGGCGAGGGTGGGGATCGCCTGTGACACGATGTTCCAGTTGGGCGGCGGCAGTCTCCCCCGGCACAAGTTCAGCAACGTGAAGGTGGCGGTGCGGATGAGCGTCATCTTCAGCGAGTTCAACAACTCCAACAACTTCTCCATCGCCCCGCACTCCAACACGTAGTCGCGCAACTCGGTGCTGTCCCCGGCGACGTTACCAAAGGCCCAAATCGCCTGTTCCTTCACTTCCGCCAGATTTGAGTCCAACAAGTCGACAAACTTGGGCACGGCGCCGGCCTCGACCACCACCCGCGTCTGTTCCGACGTCCCCGAGGCGATGTTGGTCAACGCCCACGCCGCGTCCAACTGCAACATGTCGGGGTACTCCTTGCCCATGAACTCGACCAAGTAGGGGATGGCGCCCAGCTCGATGACGAGGTCGATGGGGGGGTTGTGTTCGCGGGACAAGATGCGGCGGAACTCGATGGTGGCGGCCAACTTCTGGTCAAAGTCCGCCAGCTGGAGCATCGACACCATCCGGGGCAATTCCTGGCGCAACTGGGCGTCCATCGCCGCCGGGTTCATCCCCTGCTGGCCGGTGGGCGCCTGGTTCCAGGTGGCGACGTCCTCCTCCTCGGAGTCGTTGCCGGCGTCGCGGTTGAAGTTACGGCGCTTCAGCAACATCTCGTCACGCTTCTGCTTGCGCAAGTCGACGGTGAGGTTCTCGCGGCGCCGGCGGAGCTCATCGTTGGTGAAGCGACCTTTGTTCTTAAAGTGTGTCCGCCGGTACTCGGGGACGTATCTCGAGGCGTCGTCGTCCATAGGGGATATCCGGTCTGGCACTAGCAGAGGTGAGAAGGAAAAAAAAAGAGCGTGCGAACAACCTTATATGAAGTCGATGGCGGGCGACAGTGAGCACAAGGCGCCCGGCTAATCGAGTGTACGGGGTCTAGCAACGTAAATTGAGTCTATTTAGAGTAAATGGTGTGTGAATTAACCTCAAACGATTGAGTTTGTTGGCAGTTTTGGCCCCTGGTTCGTCGGGAGTGGCGGTGATAGTGGCGGTGGGGGTAAATCTCAGATTGTGTGCAGGAAAACCAGCGACAACGCGGCGGGTGCCTCTACGGTGAAATGGCTGTGCTCCAAGGGCGACAGCAATTACCGGCGGGAGAGCAATTGTTGACGTTAAAGTTAAAAATGGTGGTGGATTTGATTCCGCTGGTTAAATGGAGATGAAAGAGCAAGTAGTTTACACTATTCAGGGGTGGGAAGTAGGAATCCAAGGGGGGATGAAATTTGCCTCTCTCGCAAGTGGCTAGTGGAACGGCTGGGTATTGCCAAAATAAGTGAGTGTTTCTTCGCTACGATGTGACGTCAATTTGAAAACCTGGTCACAACTTCAGAACGGTGTTATGCATCATGATAAGTATGACTCGAACCTTGGTGTGATCTTTTGTAAAAATTTGAATTATTGGCACTTATGTGTTGGTTTGACAAGTATGTAAGCGAGGACTCACCGGACTACTTTGCTTCGACAAAAACTCTGAATATATAAATAAGATATAAATGTTGAAATGTAAAGCATGATGATTCGATTTGGCATTTTTGTCTAGACTTAATTAGGGTAAGTGAATTCTCAACTCCATCCACTTTACCAGCAATGGTCACGTGATACATCTGTGACCATCAAGTCAAACAAAGTCAAATTTGTTGAGTTTTTGAGTGCTTGCAAAAATTGTTCTTGTTTATTGTAGATTAAGTTTTGATTATTTAAATCTTAGATACTTTTTCAGGTTGTTCCAGTTTTTGGTGGATGTTGCAGTCAGCTCCCCAGTGTGAGAACTTCCATCAAAAAGGTGACCCATCATTACTATCACCTTTAAGATGCCTAGACAGCCGATGGTAACTAATCGTAATAACTGTCTGTTACGGGTCGATCAGATATTGGAAACCGCCTATGATGAACGCCGCCGTGCAGAGGGCCGCAAAATGGTGTGTCAACCCTCCGACTACGATGATGGTCTGGGGACCTGGCTGCAACATGACAATCGCTTGAACATGAAACAAACCTTGGTGTAACAGCAAAAATTTTGGTATAACAGCAAGTTCATGGCCCATTAGTTGTAATTTTGGGGTCCATGGTATTCAGCAGTTGCGGGCCCCCATCATATAGTGGGGTATTTGCCTCGCCAGAAATCATTGAGCGTCGTCGTCGTCAAGCCATACCAACTGGATTTTGTTGATTGTGTTGTTGGCTGGTAGGGTGGTCTTCGTTAGAGGAGCGTCGAGTTAATCGACTAGTTGCTCAACTCATAAGTGAGAAGCTTCCAAGTTTTTGATGATGAAAACTAAGAGGAAATAGTCGCCCTTTTATACACCAAAATGAAGCGGGGAGCTCCCTGAATGCACACCGTCGACAATGAGACGGGGGATTAATAAATGCACGCCGTCGTCAATGAGACGACGGATACAATGACGAGCGCGTCCCCTCACCCATCGTCTACCACATTCCGCATGGGTAGAACGTTGTGGCCAACAAAAAACACCAGCCCTTTCAGAGAATTTCAAAGCTTTCTGGGTGATTCCATCAATGCCGATGGCTTTTGCCCGCCTTGCAAGTGTCAGTCAAACGATTGGCAATCAAGGGATGACCAACAATCGCGGGCGATGCCCTATTGTTGAAGAATTTCTTGGAAAATGAATTGTCCCGTTGACGAGACAATGCACGAAACAATTGTCTAATCTCCCACCTCGGAGATGCAAAGTACGCGTCCATCTGGTAACAAAGACTATTGAAGCTTTGGCTTCATGTTAAAACAATCGGTCCAGCAATTTAGGCAACCATTTGTGTTTCACTTTGTTGTTCACTTTTCAGGCTTAGTTCTTTTGAGTGTGTTGAACTTATCAATCGCACTCCATACTATCTCCCATATGTCACGTGACTCAGCCATTAATGGCCAGCTCGAATAAGCCGGTCCCTAATCACATAGTTCAATAAATAAAAAAGTAACTCCTTTCAAATAATCGAAGAGTATTGAATCAGACAGTAAATAAGTCGAACTGACCAATCGAATCAGGCTTTTACTTCAAAATCGTTGTTGTCTCCATCACTACTAAGGGGACGGCTTCGCACGAAAATCACCATGCTTCGAGGACTCCCGCTCCGGGGGCTTACCCGAACCCCACTTATCGCTCATCGCAGCCGTCACCTGGGGTCTTATAAACTGTCCGATGCTACGGTGGAAACTGATGACATCATCACCGAAAACAACCCGTGGTCGCCAACGTTGTACACCGACGTGGTGCGGTATAAGCCGCGAGGGCGATGGCTGCGGACCCAGGCTCTCCCCGATAACTACCGACTTTCGTACCAATCGCTTTATGAAGCTCCCGGTTCAAAGTACGTGTCGCTCTTGAGAAGACTCACGATCTCGTTCGCGGTGTTGGGAGCGTACGGGGCTAAACTCTTCTATGAGCTGGTACAGTTTGACGACATTTACGCCCTTTTCACGCTTGTGGGCACGATATCGCCCGCAGCATTTGTCCAGTATAAGACCAAAGACTACGTCACTCGGATATTCCGTCTCTACGATAAGGACAAGCCGCAGACGTTGGACAACTTAGTCAGCGACGAACGGCTCGTGATGGAGAAATTGCTGCCGATGGGGCTGAGAACGTACAACGAGGTACTCCAAGTGTCTGACAATACACTGCTTCAGTTCCAGAAGCCGCTGCACGGGTGGCTTGTGCCCTTAGCCACGTGGAAAGAAGTCGACCCCGAGACCAACCGCAAACGCGCCTATTACGTGGTTGACAACATTGGTGGCATCAAAATGGACCGCCTTTGGGGAATCGTCGAACACAACCTGGGCGTAAACCACGGGCGCTACATTGACCCTGCTACTAATGAGCGTTTACCAGATGATAAATTATAGGTAAATTTCACTGTATATAGCTAATCGGTCCCACAGAGACCACCACTGACTTTATCAATCACTAGATCTTTGATCTATTGACATTGGCAATGTTTTTCGTCTAGATCAGGGTAGATCTTAATCTAAGATATTACTGATTACCAAACGGTCCTGATTACAAAGCGGACCACGGGCTAGCGTGTCCCGAATGATACTTAATCGGAGTTTATCTGAACGTTCTTAAAAGGCTTTCGCCAGTGGTAACCCAGCTACAGGCCTTAGTCATGTAGAACATGACCGCTTTCAGTCACCTGAACCTTATCCGGATTGGGAAGCAGTAAGCGGCTAGCGGTGTGCCCCAATTTATTAGAGAAAAACCGTTTTAATTAATTATGCGCCGTGAGCCCCCCGCGGTCGGGGGCCTAGCCAAAATCGCCGTGCGGCAGCGGCGTCAAAGATCCCCCTACACCCACATACGACACCACACCCACCCCTCCAATGGGACTTTTCGGCAGCTCCAAGAAGGCGAAGCAAGCCAGTGATGCCACCAGCGACGCCTCAGTTTCTCGTGGGACCAGTCGGCTGAGACTGGCGCTGAGGGAACGCCCTCTGTCTTCCTCCTCTCGAACGGGATCGACCGCCACCACCGCGGAACTGTCCTCAAACGATGATGGCCGAGGTCGGAGTCGTCCTAAGGTTACGGTGACCAGTCACGCTACCGAAGATGCTGAGTTAGCTCCTGGTGAAGGCGAAGAAGGCGACGAAACGTCAGAGGCTCGCAAGGCCCAGTTGCGTAAATTGGATGAGAAGGCGCCTGATGTACTCGGAGCAGATGCCGTCGACGACGACGAAACCAAGGCTAATACTAAGAAAAACGCCATGCTCTTCCACTTCTCCGACGAGCTGATCGATGGCTATCGCCGGGAACACACTGCTTCCGATTTATTGGGGAGACTATACTATGACGATTACGATACCGAAAACCCGCAGCTGCTCCTGGGGACAGCCACACCGTTATTGACACCACAGGTGACGGGGGAATCGACTAGTAACTCGACACTGAGGCTGAGCTCAACACGACCATCGCTTAACCGGCTCTCGTCGTTTGAGCGCGGTATCTCATTTGATACTAGCGACAACAATCTGCGCAAGACGATGACCTATAAAGTGAAACACCCTCAGTTCAAGTTTCGCCGCAATAATAAGACCTACTTGGCTGGTTTCAATAATCTGATTGAGTCGTTGAAGGCCATTGAGTGGTTATTTGACGAAATGATCGTCCACGGCGACACAATCGTTGTCCTCTCAGTGTTAGATGAAAAGCGATACTCGACCATCGACCGCAATACCGCCATGGCGGCGCTTTCGAAGATTGAGAACCTAAACGAAGTCCACCGCAAGAAAGTTAAACTCATATTTGAGGTGGCGATCGGTAAACCGCAAAAGCTTTTGAAAAACGCTATTAACGAGTACGACCCTCAGATGATGATTATCGGTACTCGCCATTACGATCGCAAGATGGCTAAGCCGCTTTTCGCTAAAGAACTGTTCCTGAAGCATTTCTTGGAGTGTGCTCTTGTCCCTGTGATCCTCGTCAAACCCACTTATCACTACGTCGAAGAATTACCTAAACCTATCGATGGCCACCAGTACTTTGAGAACTGGCTCCGCAGTATCGATGTCGCCGGCTCCTACGATAAGAAGCGCAAAAAGGGGATGTTCAGTCCCCTGGCGTCGCGAGGCAACTCCTACACCAACCTCTCCCAGCTTGTGCCTGACCGAGGTCCTACTCTTTCGCGAGGCAACTCAGGCACTGCTCTTTCACGAGGTAACTCATCACCAGGTCTCGATGTGCTTGTGGCCGAACGGTTAGCGGCTACTGAACGTGGCCGTCCGCGAGACACTGTGCATCGAGAGCGTGGCCGCTCACCAGCTCCGCCGCTGGGGGGACAAGGGGCACTTCTGCCGCCGCTGCGATCGCGGTCTCGTCTGAGAAACCGATTGCTGGCTCTCTTTAGCATCGGCGATAAGTAATACTTCTGAAAGTGAAGAAAAGCTGGTGCTGGACGTTTCATTTCAATTCTCACCCCCACGATTTCCTTAATGTTGCCAGCCTCATGGTTGCTGATTAGACCTTTTTATAGCTGTTATGAGGCAGTGCCAATCTATAATGAAGTAGACGAAAGTCATCGCGTTGACATGGCAACAATACGTTATATCTTCTTTTAAATGGCAAACTAAGTTAAGCCACCACTCAAAACTGTCAAACGTGGCGGGTGATTTAATTTTGAGCCCTTCATACATTCTCTCTCTCACCATGGTGCAAGCTTCAAGGTGTGAATAGTCCTTTGAAACAATCCCGAATGAAAACTCTAAACTGAATGTCATTGGCACATCAATGAACTACTTAATTTCCAATCATTTGTATATGCTATTCGTATGTCATGAGCTTAATGGCATCGCCTCGGGCTGCCCCCCTGCTGTGCTCACATTCCATGTCCGAGTGCAAAGCCACGCCAAAGGGGGTAAAATGTTTATAAATAAACGAACGCTAATTTCGAGAGGAAATCCTTTTTCTCGGGTGAACGATGGTTGGCAGCAACCAGGATGTTAGTGCCGTACTGGTGGCATATCGCAGCCTCCAAGTTATCCTCACTGGTGTCGTTTTCGGGTTTGGCATTTACGAGGTGGTCCAACACCGTCGCCAGACTTTTGATGGTAGCGACAGCTATGGACGAGCAGTGGATACAGTGGTGGTGCTGTGTCTTGGGTTATTACAGCTACTAAACTGCTTGATTATCACTACTACTATTGCCTCGTTGTGGGCTCGTCCTATTATTACCATGATTTTCGACTTTGCCTTCATCATTTTATGGGGGTGGCGAGGGGCGGTGGATACCTTTTTCAGCAATGACGTGTGCCATAATGGCTCTGCAAATGGTATACCTCAGCTTATAGTTGAAAATCTGTGTACGATAGGCCAGATCTGTGGCTGGATCGAAGTGGTGATGGCTATTCTTTACTTGCTAGGGTTTTTCATTCTGGTGTGGAAATGTTTCACGCCAGTGGTTATGGCGTACGGCTGGCGGGGCCTCTTCAGGAAACAGCCATACCATATCGGAGCACTAGCAGTAAAAGTACCACTCCCTAATTTTCGTAATTCGGAAATTACTCTCGGCAACCTCGAGCAACCCCTGCCAAATTCGCAGTTCCTGCCTAATAAGCTGAACGTATCGATATATAGTACTGAAGTGGCGGTGCCCCTACGCGCCGCACTATGACGCGAGAACTCTGCGGTGATCGGTGATCTGTACAGACTCTGCCGCGCGCTCGCGCTACCAAAATAAATACACCGTTACGCGTACACTGTACAGTTTGACAGAACCCTGGCATGGTGTCACCTGAGTTTGCCAACTGGCGACGACTGGGGCTGGTAAATGACAAATCACCGTCTCCGCCATCACGACTGCGTCTGGCCACGCCGAAATTGACATTATCTACCCAAACCAGAGGCCACCGCATTGCCAAACCCCAACCAAAGAAGCTGTGGATCTCCCGCATCGTCAGCTGGGGCTCCGACGCTGGCGCCTCTCTGAAACAGAATAATCATGATGATGTCGACAATATCATCGCTAGAGTGGAACAGCGGCGGGACCGGCTGTACTCTCAGGGGGGCGATAATGGCCGCCATGATCTGGGGAACTTGAGGGTCACTCACAGCCAACCTGGAGCTTGGGACAATAACCAAAACTTGACAGGCGATACTAACCGGGCGGAATTGACTGACGCTCATCGGGAAATTGAACGCCTTCGCCAGTACATGGAAGTTCTCGAACAACAGGCCCAGGAGGCGGTCCAGCTCCGCCAGGACGTGATCCGGTACCGTCAGGCGGCGCAGGAAGCCGCTGCTGACCGCGACGACCTTGAGTATGAGCTTCTTGAGCTTAAGAAAAGCATCAGCAAACAGACATTGCTGGAAGACGACCGCCTTCGCTACCAACGGGCTTTGGAAGATACACTCGATGAGGAACGGCGTCAATGGGAACGGGAACGGGCTCAGGAACGCATCGAATGGCAACAGGACCTCCAGGACCGGATCGATAAGGCAGTTGATGAAGTCAGCCGAAGACTCCAGATCCGCCACCAACAGGAGCTTGAAGTAGCGGTTAACGAGGAAACTTTTCGTGTCGAACAGCAGTATGCTGCTAAGCTTGAACAGATGCGGCGAGATGAGGACGATCTCGCAGATGTCCAACGGTTAGTCAACCACAAGCAGTTGGAGCTTACCCGGCTTTCGACGGACACGGCTCAGCAGCGACTGCTCCTTCAACACCAAGCGCAACAAATTGACGAGGAAAAGCGCCAGCTTCAAGAGCTCAGGGACGAGACCAACAAACAGTCGCAGCGGTTACAAGATATGGTCGCCAAAGTGGAAACCACTAGCCGCGAATTAAACAGAATGACGCTGGATGTGGCCAGTGTCTCCACAGTAATGACGGCGATGATCCGTTGGGGGCTTGCCGTGTTGGATGAATCGTATAATCTCGACGATATCGTTGCTCGCATCAACCGGTTGATGGAACGTGGTGTGGTGTTGGAGCCATTGTCGCCTCTGGACCAACGGACGATTGCTGCCATGAGCCAAAGCCAATTGGACCAGGAGTACCGCTATTTAATTGGTGAAGAGATTCCTGGGTGGGGTTTCACTTACGACCGGGACCCTACTCGCCAGGGGCCTCGCCAACACTTACTCAACTCCTACGTTTACCTTCAAGCAGTGGTGGAGAGACTCCGCACGATATTGTTGGAACTGCTTCGCCAGGCATCGGCGATGCCTGCCAAAGAATTTGCCCAGGTGGTAAAGCTTTGGGAGAGCGAGCGCTTCGAATTGATGACGTGCCGTCGCGTGCTGAAGTGGGGGTCGCTGCCCCTCCGACCCCACCAGAGATGAACATTTTATTATAAGTGTGCATGACGTAATTTAATTAATGAAATATCGTAATCTTCGTTTATTTTGGCTAGATAAACCAATCAGTGGCTTTTTGCCGGTTATCACTAGTGCCCTGGGCGAGCCGGTCCCCGACGTAGATGGTCGATTTCAGATTTAAAACAAGCTGGAGGAGGTTGTCGTCCAGCACTACTTGCATTAGAAGCGCTTTTACAGGTTGGCGAGGTACGGAGTCAATCAATTGGAGTTGTTTTTCACCTTCAGAGAGCGGGGGTTCGATCGATTGGAGCTGTTTGCCCACATCACCAAACGTGTGTGGGGTGAAAAGGTCAGGGAGAATATGCTTGATCAATTGCTGCTCGAGCTCAACGAACTGGTAGAAGCGACACTCTTGAAGTAACGCTGCTCTTTTTAAGTCATCGGTTACCACAAAGAAATTACCCCGTAAACACTCTAACAATTCGTAGAATAGTTGAGCCAGCCGGTGCACGATACAGTGCGGGGCGGGGCGTACCAATTGGCTTTGCTCGATCACGGGGAACGTGTGTTGCAATTGCTGGTCGTAGTGAACGGTGAAATAGTTGGGCAGGTTACCAGGACCTAATAAATCTCTGGGAATCTTAAACAGAGTGCCGCCAATGACACAATGGATGTCCAACTTGGATAGTATATTTTGTAGACGCGCGAGGCCATAATAAAATGAGTCCAGCCACAAATTCATCATCTCGTAAGCGTCATGCACCTGGACGCGGTAACCTTGCAAATGGTTGTAGATCAACTCAAATAGCTTTGGGTCCAGGTCCAAAAATAACGTGGCTTCGGCACCATGGATGGCAAACCATTGAGTGAAATATGACGGCGCGTCCAGCAAGAGCAGAAGCCCTGATATGGGGAACAGCTTGTAGCCGACTTGGATCTGGTAGATCGTGTCGTTCTGGAGAACGGGAGGCTCGGAGGGTAGGATATCGGTGATTATGGTTAGAGTGAATATACTCAAATTGATGGAGAGTTTGGGGGAGTTTTATACTGCTCAATGGCGGTGGGCGGGTCACTCGACGTCGATGACCAAGATACGCCGTGCGCTGCACCAAGATGTAGATAATCTTGCACTGACGAGCGTTCCATGCGTTAGCATGCGTTGGGCGGGCGGACAAACTGTGGCGGGAGCTTGTGGCAACCGCCCCGGATTAGGAAAGAGGCGTCGGTAACTATCCGATTTTCGGGGGGGCTGCGACGAGAAATTAGTAAGAGCAGGCGACAGGAGTGATGCCCCACGCTGAAGCCCACTTGTGGAGGCGGCGGGACGTTGCACCACGTGGTTACATCGGAGGGGAAACTGGGCTTCGGAGAAACTTTTCACTGTCGCCTAGGGGTTTAGGCATGCGCTGATGGCGTAAGGTGGGTGGTGTTGGTGTACCTCATTTTCGTGGGATAGGGCGGCTGGATACGTAAATCGTGACACAAGATGGTACCAAGAGATTTTCGCCGAGGGAATACGGGTGGTTAGTCTTGGGTGGCACGTGCTATGTGATCTTCGAGTCCCCAGTGTGTGTCCCCATTGGTCCGATGACTAAATGCGCTAGTGTTTTGTGGCTTTTGCCGGTGGAATCTTCCGCTGCAAGTGAAGCACGCAGCTTGGCATTCTGGAACAACCTGGAGAAGCCCGCTCCTCGGCTTAGACGTACTAAAAGCCATTGTCATATGGGATGTTTCAATTGAGAGGTCAGAGGGGGTCAATGGCAACCATCGACCAGTGATCTACCAAAGTGGCTAGGGAGCTACTCGCGCTCGCACTTGGTGCGTTCGCTTGGTGGTTAGCGACGACGCACGGAAAATCAGTGACGGTGACCAAGATGAAATAGACCCCACTTGCATCTGGCCAGAACCCGCACTTCGGCCAAAATTAGCATCGCCGTGCGCCTCGGAATTTCCCATATGATCCGTGGATAACCCCGTGCTATTGTTGGCGGCTTTAGCTCGAGAGCGCTTAGTGCGAACGGTGCGACTGTGCGCGACGAGTGAAAAAAACTTAGTCCTCGCGAAGACGCTCTCAGTATCGGCCATGTTGAGACAATCGTTGCGGACGATGGCCACCGAGGCGGCGCTGGTGTTCCACACGGCCACCCCGCCCAAGTACACGTTGGCGCTGCTCCGGAGCTTCCCGTCGCTCGAGCCCCACACCTTCATCCCCCTCCCGGCGCTGTTCTTCACGGCGCCGTTGCGCCGGGACTTCCTCTGGCAGGCGGTGGTGTACGAAGCCGACAAGGCCCGGGTGGGGCTGGGCTACGTCCCCACTAAGGGCGACAAGCCCTTCTCCAACCGCAAGTTGTACAACCAAAAGGGTACCGGTAAGGCGCGTGTGGGTGACGCCAACTCGCCCACCCGTGACAACGGCCTCAAGGCGCACGGGATCAAGGCGCCCCACGACTGGCTGACCCAGTTGCCGGCGAAGATCTACTCCAAGGCGTTCCAGCACGCGCTCGCCGAACAGTACAAACAGGGCAAGTTATACGTTATTGGCGCCGACGGCAACGAGTTCGACTCGGCGCAGTGCGAGTTTGCCTACGACCACCCCGCCACTGCTCGCCAGTTTGTTGAGGCGCACGGGCTCGAGAAGTTGAGCCTTTTGTTTATCACCGACGGTGTGCGCCCGAACTTGTTGAACGCTACCGAGGCGTTGGGCAAGAAGGCCGACGTTCTCGTCAAGGAGGCGGTCGAGGTCCGCGACATCTTGCGGGCGAACCGGGTGTACATTGAGTTGCCGGCGTTGCAATGGTTTATTGGTAAGCACTCCCACGAATGAACACGACATGTATATAGCATATAATTAAGGTATAGAATAAGATTCATTAGGAGCCCCACTGAGTCTGCTTTGGGGTCGTCAAGCATTTTAGCTTATCGGTATTAGTCAGGCTTATTTTGATGGTGATATTCGAAATTCAGGCTCAATCGACTGGTTTTTGACGTTCACGATAACGAGTTCAATGCTAGAGCACTAAATACTAGTGATATGAAAGAATGAAAGGAATCATAATACTTTTAATTGAGATTGTCGACAATGTTGTAGCATTTACCTGGTGAAAGAATATCTTGAGACAATGTCAACATGTGAACACTCAATGCTACGCGATCACGTTAGATCTCATGTTCGTTTGGTGGGGTACAGTGAGGATGCGAATGGGTGCGAATAATACGAAGGGATGAAATTAAGGAGAGGGTCGGGGAAGAGAACCGTAACCACTACGATGACAACAATACATGTTAAGCAGTTATTTAGTTAGGGGAGGCGCCAGATGAAGTCCCTCAAGTTTAACTCGAAATCCCGATTGGGTTCGCACTTTAGTCACGTGTCATTAGGGTTACACGCCCTAATGCCCCAGTGCGCGCCAGGAAAACTTTTCAATATGGCCCGAAGGAATTTCACGCCAACTGACCCAACATGCCTTTAGTCGTCCAAGAACAAGGTTCGTTCCAACACATCTTGCGTTTGTTGAACACCAACATCGATGGGAGAATCAAGATCATGTACGCCTTGACCAAGATCAGAGGTGTCGGCAGAAGATACGCCAACTTGGTGTGCAAGAAGGCCGACGTCGACCTTGCCAAGAGAGCCGGTGAATTGACCCAAGAAGAATTGGAAAGAATCGTCACCATCATGCAAAACCCCACCAACTACAAGATCCCCGCCTGGTTCTTGAACAGACAAAAGGACCAAACCGACGGCAAGGACTACCACGTCCTCGCCAACAACTTGGAATCGAAGTTGAGAGACGACATCGAAAGACTCAAGAAGATCAGAGCCCACAGAGGTATCAGACACTTCTGGGGTCTCAAGGTCAGAGGTCAACACACCAAGACCACCTCGAGAGGTCTTTAAGTGCTTTGTCATGTATTTTAATAATAAACAGGAAGGAAAAGTTTCACCACGTTGTAGCGTTTCATTTCTGAAACAAAACATATAAGAATACATTTTATGATAGGAATAGACTTACAAATTCATTTCATGCTGATGACTGGATGTGTCTGTTGAGTTTTGCATTGGTCGTAACGTCGTATATGATGGTTGGTGCCGCGTTATTGATGCCTCGAGCGTTTACGGCGGTCGTCGGGCTGGCGCTGGCGACGCACAAACTGGGCCAACTCGTCGAGCTCGCGGTCAGCGGCTTCGCGCTCGCGTTGAGCTTGCTGCTGAGCTTTAAGACTATTTTCCGCTAATCGTTGGCGAGCACTGGTGTCAGCATCGTCGAGAGCCCGGTTAAGAGCACCGAACCCTTCAACGTTAACACTAGTGTCGGCACTAGCCAACATTTGCGTGCGGTGTTCAAGGGAAATATTAAACCCAAGATTATTCTTCCAATTAGACACCACCAGCGGGATCTGCCATTGTTGGCGTTCCTCGGGAGTAAGAGTTTCGTCAGTAGTGGGTTTAAGTAATGGCGGCGGCGGTGGCGGCGGCGCATGACGGTTTTTGGCGAGTTTAAACTGCGGTGGAAGTAACGGGTCTACCTTATACTCCAGCACTTGTACTTCATGACCAGCAATCTTCATCGTCGTAGGCTTATCAGATTTGGTAGACGTGGTAGGGTTTGAAGTCTTGGCCAATATTGCAGCAATGATGTTTCTGGTATCGTCAACGGTCGCTTTGACGTCAGGGTCATCGCGACTAGGGCGAGGGAAGTGGTGAGGCATGCGAGGATAGCGGGTCTTGAGCGGCACGGTATCATCGTAGCGAGTATGAGCTGTTTGGGCTCCTCCCTGGGCTCGATTGATAATTGTCGTAGTGACGTCGACTTCTCCCAGCGGCGCTACCACGACCTCACCCACCAGCGCTGATGTCACTATCGAGGATTGAGGCTCGGCGATTGGTAGTAGAGCCGTGCTTGTACTGCCACTGCTGCTTCCGGCATCGGCAAAGGCAAACGTGGCCCGGTGGCTGCCGCGGGGAGCGGGGAGACTGCGGAACATGGCTTTTCAGTGACGGCCTCAGGGCGGAGGGCGCTCGACCATGCTAGAGAGCAATTGTCCCAAGAATTCGCTGGGCTATGTGCAGGCCAAAATTCAAGTGGCCATCTAGACTCGAAATTTAGGGGATGGGTCCACTGTGGCGCTTGGTACCACCGATAGATTAAGCTTCGATTACTAATGGCCCTGGCAGCAACGCTGCCCCTATGTGGGCTTAATAATGGCGCCATGAAAGATACGGGGCGCTGCAGGCTTCGGTCGCGGCAACGGAACCCTGGGGGCGCACACCCCTGGGGTGTGTCCTATATGGGGGTTACGCATAAATTAATAAATTAGTAAAACGGTAAGGTTGCTAATTATATATAATTGAGTCGATCCCCAGTGGTTTGGTCGTTATCGTACTACTCAATTGACCATGGCTCCCAAAGTTTGCGTTCTCTACTACTCGATGTACGGCCACCTCAACAAGTTGGCCGAGGCCGTCGCCGCCGGGGTGCGGGCCGCTGGCGGCACCGCCGACATCTACCAGGTCCCCGAAACGTTGCTGGACCATGTGTTGGAGTTGATGCACGCTCCTCCCAAGGCCAAACACCCCGTCGCCTCGAAGGAAGTGCTCTTGGAGTACGACGCGTTTTTGTTCGGTGTCCCCACCAGATTCGGTAACTTCCCCGGCCAGTGGAAGGCGTTCTGGGACCAGACCGGCGGCTACTGGGCCCAAGGTAAGTTGTTCGGCAAGTTTGCTGGTGTGTTTGTCTCCACGGGTACCCCCGGTGGTGGCCAGGAAGTCACCGTCGTCAACACGTTGTCGACGTTGGCGCACCACGGGATCGTCTACGTGCCCCTCGGGTACAAGAACGCCGGCAAGTACCTTACCTCGTTTGAAGAAGTCCACGGGGGTTCGCCCTGGGGGTCGGGTACCTTTGGCGGTGCTGACAACCAGAGACAGGTCACCGAGTTGGAAAAGAACTTGGCGTCGCTTCACGGGCAACAGTTCTATGAACAAGTGAGCTCTTACTTGAAGTAAATTTAGCGCTATGTACGCAGACAATTAACCGTCAGACATTATGTGGTTGTAGTATTGGATCATACTTTATTCACATCATTTAGCCTAGTTTAGTAAATTTGCGTCATTGTGCGTGGGTGAAGTCAATGAGGCAGTTCTCCTCATAAATCTGTCTGAGTCTCGTACATGGCTCCCTTGGGCTTGATTCGGCTGGACTTGGCAATTGACACCGGCATTGGCCAGGTCTAATGGTTAATTGTGAGAACTACCTTCCGTACTACAGCTTGATTTTGTAACTGAAATTCACAAGGCCAATGATGGCGACTACAGGGTAAATTCAGGTACGTATAGGGGTCGGTGTCACAAAAGCCACCTGGAAGTTCCGGTGTAACTTTCAATTACAACAGTACTAACTTTCGATGAGAATTTGATCGGTATCTGTCTGTCACATCAAGCACATTTTTCACTAATTGGGCTCACGAGATGTGGCGCACTAAATTTAGTAAAAAAGAAAAATTGGCTTGGCACGTACTTCCCAATCTAAACACCCTCCCCAAACCCCATAGACGCGCAGTCGCCCTTGGCCCACGACGCCGCCGCTTATGTCTCGATTAGTCCGTGGCGCCTGGTGGTTGCCGGGCCAACCGAGCCGCGCTGCACCAAAAGCTTACACGTTACCGGTGCCCGCGTGTCCCTAAAAGAGCTTAATTGCTGGCGACGCATCCACTAGCCGGGCGCATGCTGCGCGACGTGTCATTTCTCGTGCAGAGAACGTAGGTATCAATAGTCGACACGCAACCCTTTGTTTACCTTTGGCCCTGCACGATGGTTGGCGATGTCGGCAAACTGTTTATACGAAACAGAACCGCGTATCGACCGATTCAAACGTCGACGCCAATCCTGTGATTCAGTTGAATCTTCTCAATGGAAATTACCCCTTTTATTCGCAATAACAATCAAATTCAACTCTTGTTTAATGGCATAATTGTACAATCCTTCAGTTGTTAGTGGTTCTATTTATATCCTAGATTGATCGTGCTATTGTTATAATCACTACTAAATGCTTGTCTCAGTGTCCCTTTATTTCCGTTCCTAAATGCTCGTTAAAAATCATTACTCATAACAGTGTCCCATAAAATCGAAGGTTTCAGTCAGTGACGTCACTTACTTCCACTGGCCTTCCTTCAACTTAAGCAAGTGTTCCACGCACTGGTTGTTGTCGCTCGTCTTCGGCGCCTCGGCGGCGTCGGCGAGCCGCTGCTGCACCGTTTGCGGCAGCTTGTGCGACGCCAACTTGAACGTCATGGTGGCGCCGGCGTCCAGGTTCAAGAGCGGCGGCTGCTTTTTGCGCGTCTCCAGCAACACGAGCTTGGGCGGGTGGTGCTGGATCATCAGGTCGTCAAGCAGGGTATTCAGGTCGTCGTAGTCCAGGGTGGTGGTGGGGGCAGGAATGGGGATCAGCGCCGCGCGTTGCTTGATGAGCGGCAGCGTCGTCGC